ATTCGTTTCATTGTGTAAGAAAGCGATTGTTGACGTTAACCGATCGCCAAAGACAAAAAAAATGGTGCAAAGAGCGTTTAAATTATTCAGTAGAACAATGGAAAATGATTATCTTTAGTGATGAATCAAATTTCGAAGTTATTAACAGAAAAAACAAGAGATTTGGTCGTCCCAAAAATACAGAAAAAGATTTGAAGCAACATCTATTTAGCCGTATTCAAAAAGGCGGTGGTTCAGTCGGCATATGGGGATGTATATCAGGCTCAGACATTGGCTGTCATAAAATATACGAAGGAAGATTAAACCAGTATGAGTATCGTAACATTTTGGAAAACGCGCTTATCCCTAGTCGCGATTTGTTCCTGCTGATCAAAACTGGTTATTTCAACAAGACAATGCTCCATGCATACAGCGCATTCAATCACTGATTATTTCCTTAAAAGTAATATTCAACTTATGCCTTGGCCATCACGATCACCAGACTTAAACCCAATTGAAAATTTGTGGAGCTGGATGGATTATCAACTAACAAAAAAGCAAATAACTAGTCACGAAATGCTCAAACAAGAACTGACCAAACTGTGGCTTGAAATACCAATCAAGATGATTGAAAACTTAATTGAATCAATGCCTAGGCGAATACAAGCATGTATTAAAAACAATGGGGCTCATATTCCGTATTATATATTTCGATTAAAAGGAGTTGTATGTGCGTTTAAACTTTATTGCACTTTCTTCAAACTAATCTTTTGATTACTTGAGTTTGTTGTTTAATTTCAGAAAAGATTTTGTGTTTTTCTTATTCAAAGTTGTGTTTTTTTCTTAATTAATAACCGACTAAGAATATTAAAAAAAAAAACCTGGACCCTGCCTCATGTTTTCTCTTTGTATCACTTTAAACATACCTTAACTTTAAAAAAAACAAGTGCGTTTAAACTTTCTGTACAAGGTGTATATATATATATATATATATATATATATATATATATATATATATATATATATATATATATATATATATATATATATATATATATATATATATATATATATATGTATGTATATATATATATATACAGTTGTGATCAAAAGTTTGAAACATTGCATAAAAAAACATAATTTTTATTAAATTATTCATTTATTTTATCAAAATATATTAGTAACTATACAATCGACAAAAATAATATCTTTGGAACATTAGTTAATGTTTTATGAATTGAATACTTGAGTTTAATACTTGGTATGATGTCCTTTAGCATTTAAACAATTAGTTAAGCGGGTAGGCATAGAGTAAATGAGCATTCTTAAATATTCAGGAGTCATAAGTTGAGTCCATACCTGCCTAATTTTTTCTTGTAGGTCATCCGAAGATGAGGGTCTTAGTCTCTGAACTTCGGTTTCAAGATGATCCCAGCAATTTTCAATAATCTCAACCTCATTCTCAAGCAACCAACTGCTCACAAGCTTGGCTCTGTGACAGGGTGCTCCGTCATGCTGAAACTTGTGGGTATTTGTCATGTTCATGATTATTTTAAGTTTTTCTTTAAGTATTTCAAGATAAATATGACTGTTTATTGTGGTGTTAATAGTCATAAACCATAAACCACCACTTTTATTTGCTGTAATGGCACCCCATATTATGATTTTAGGGCAATGTTTTGCAGTAGAAAACAAATACTGGGGGTCGTATTGTTGGCAAGGCGGATGTCTAATGCTTGTAGAATAACATTCAAATTGTTCGATTAGTGATTCATCACTAAATATTGCATCCTTCCAATCTTTCGCTGACCAGTGCTTGTATTTTTGACCAAAGGCAATTCGGTCTCTAATATTTTTTTTGTGAACAATGAAAATTGTTGTTAATTCATTAGTTTTTGTTATCATTATTTTATTATTTTTTGTTAAAATAACAACAAGCTATGACTTAAACAAATTTAGAGGTTTATAACATAACATTTTGCATGAATATAATAATAATCAGAATTTTCAATGTAAAAAAATATTTTTAAACAAACTTTCGATTGCAACTGTATATATATATATATATATATATATATATATATATATATATATATATATATATATATATATATATATATATATATATATATATATATATATATATATATATATATATATATATATATATATATATATATATATATATATATATATATATATATATATATATATATATATATATATATATATATATATATATATATATATATATATATATATATATATTAGACTAAAAACAACTTTTTTTGAAATTGTCTGCTGCCACCCCCTAAATGTGTTCTATGTAATAAATTAATACTAAATTAAAAAAAAATTTAAATAAAAAAAAAATTTTAGGGGTTGTTCAAGACCCTTGAATATCAAACGAGTCCCTAATATTTTGAAAAAAAAGTTCTTCAAAAGTATATCATGTTGGGTCACAAAAGAAGTAAAATTTTATAAAAATTTGAAAAATAATAAAAACAATTATATTTTAAATATATATATATATTTAATTGTCAAATGCGCAACGTAATGTGGTAGTTGTATTCATTTAAATCTAAGCAATCCGATTTTTTTTTTTTTGGAAATAGATAATACTTGAGTGATGAGTTCTTTTAATGCTAATTTAGAAAACAAAACAGATGTTAGTTCTTTTCTGAGCTGTTGTCCGGCATCTAAAGCTATTTTATGTGAACTTAAACATGATGAACTTGTTGCTTCCAATGAAGAGGAATCTATAAACAACAGTATTTCAACTTGAACAGAAGACATTTATTTTAGCCAAATATAAATCATTTTGACATTTTACAGATATGGTGTGTTTCAGATAAATCAACCAACTCTGAAGCAATTTTATTTTCAAACAAATTTTAAAAAAATTTACACTTATAAAGACAAAAAAAGACCTTTAATTTCAGGAACCCATAAGTATTGTTTTGCAATTTCTAAAAATGTTTGTTATTACAATTTTCTCAAGAATTTAAAATATTTTTTGAAAGAGTCTCTTTTTTAGCTTTCTCTATTATTCTTAATGCAGCTTGAAGTTCCCATTTTTTGTGACTGATTATTTTCTTATGTATAGAACTTACTTGTTCTCTTCTATCTTCGCCATTATAAAAAAACTTTATAATTTGACCATTCTTTAGATATTTTCATTCTTAGCTTTTACGCCAAATGATTTAAATTTTTGTCAGATTGTGCAGCCAAGCTTTTGCGAAAACAGAGCCACTTATTTTTAGAACAAAACTCTGTTTTTTGCTCTAATGTACAGCAACTTGGAAGCAGCAGTTGGTGTAATTGTCTGCAGAAAGTAAATCTGGCATTGTAATTTTTATTTCTTGCGTTTCTTTTGCACATAGTTTGATTTTTTTCTGAACCAGAGAGTCAACCAAGACGAAACTGGTGATTTTTTTCATATTTAGTTTTGTGATATTTTCTTTCATTTATGTTTTAATTTTATTGTCACAAATAGCATAATGTTCGTGTTCTAAAAAATCATTATAAGGCATTATGAGATATACAGACAAACATGGCAAACAAAGCAGTCGTGGCTTAATAGTAGTGCACTTGCCTCAGAAGCATAAAAACTTTGTTCAAACCCCACCTCTGGGCAAGTTTTGCGACATTGATTGGGAAGAAGGCGTGAACTTCCTATTAAATGCTCTTTCGCAATGCTCTGTAATAAGACCGTAAAGACTTCTTGGGGCACCGTAAAAAAATAAAAAGACATGTAAATGATTGCACAGAAACAATCAAATTTCTTAGAAATACAAATGGTTGTGGAATTGATATTTGGACAAAAAATAACTTGATGTCATAAAAACAAACAAAATAAACAAGAAAAAAAGTTATAGTAAATTTTTCTCAAGCAAATTTAGTTTTTACTGAGAAACAATAGGTTCTGAAACGCAGCACTGTAATGTTTTCATATCTGCAAAATATGTTTTGCATGACCTTTATAACCCATACTTGCATTTTCAATTTAAAGAAATTTTAATACAACTTTTTTTTGAATTAAAAATATTTAAAAATGAACAATGATAGAGGTGGGAATTTGCTTTATTATTTGCGGAGGATGGTTGGAATCAGTGTGGATGTAACGTAGATAATCATTTGGTTTTTTGAAAAGTTGGTAGGAGTTTTTTTTTAAGTTAAAGGAGACATCTAAGAAGTTGACTGCGGGTAGGTTTGTTTGGATCTCTATTTTAAAACCGATCATTTTCTAACTCAAAGTTTATTTATAAATGTATAGTATTCCCCCCCCCCCCCTCCCTAACACTCCAAAAAAAGTATATATTGGCCTAGCAGAAAGTGAATGGAAGAAAAGATGGGCTAACCACAAACACTCATTCACAAACAAAAAGATGAAAAATTCAACTACCCTTTCAAAGTATATACGGCAGATAAAAGAAAACTTAAAAATAACACCCAAATTAACCTGGTCAATAGATAAACAAGTCCCCGCCTACAGCAACGTAATAAAAAAATCCTTGCTTTGCCTTCATGAAAAACTTTGCATAATATCATACAAAGGTACGCAAGAATTGTTAAATAAAAAAACAGAAATAATATCTAAGTGTTGTCATGAAACCAAGTTCTTGCTTGACAACCACAAGCCTAAAGATTAAAAAAGCAAACCACACTTGCAAATAGTAACATTATAATTGTTTTTGAACGTCACGATGTTACTATATAGTATATTTTTTAACGTAAAAAACAATGAATTTTTACCTGATGATTGCTAAACGCATGAAACTTTTATATATATATATATATATATATATATATATATATATATATATATATATATATATATATATATATATATATATATATATATATATATATATATAGAAAACTATATATGTATATATGTATATATATATATATATATATATATATATATATATATATATATATATATATATATATATATAGAAAACTTTGATCTTTTGTTTAATTTCTGAAATAATTATTAACAACATTTTAATTTTTAGGTTTTGCCATTTGAAAAAAATGTTTCCAAAATATTTGCTGATATTAGCATTATTGACACATTCACATTTTCCAGCTTTCTTCACGCTATATCTTACACTTTAAATGATCATTCAGATACTTTGAAAATGTTAAACTCAGAAACTGTTGACAATGTAACTGGTTTTACTAATGTAAATCATGAAATAGTGCAGCAGAAAGAAAATATGGTGGCTCAACTGCAAAATGTAGGTTGTTTTTATTTTTATTATCAACTTTAGAATATTTTTTTAATTTTTTAAATATATTTTAAAGTTTTTTTTATTAATAACATTATTCTTAAATAATTAATAAATAAGTATCGATAAATTTTTTGTTATAATTTTTCTATTTGTTTTAATTGTTTTTGTTTTAATTTTTTTTATTTATAAAATTTACCTTATATAGATTTTATAAAAAATAAAAATTATATATAAGAAAATATCAATATTAAGAAAAAAAATTATATTTATACTTAACATTTAATACACTAAAAATCAAAATTTAATTAAATGAAAATTTAATTTCATTAAACTCAATCTTATCATTTGTCTAATCATTTGTAAAAAAAAAAAATATATATATATATATATTTATATATATATATATATATATATATATATATATATATATATATATATATATATATATATATATATATATATATATATATATATATATATATATATATATATATATATATATATATATATATATATATATATATATATATATATATATATATATATATATATATATATATATATATATATATATATATATATATATATATATATATATATATATATATGGTCATTTCTGGGTAGAGGGGCCAGATAGATTATTCCTTATGAAATACAAAGTTGTTCCTTACCCCCAAAAATGGGGGTGCGGACGACCTCAAATATGACCTCGGAGGTCACTAGAGGTCACAATGATCTGAAAGACAAATTTAGCATTTCCTATGATGTGATTTTCTTCAGTTTCTATCATGTTCCATGGATTACTGTTACCTATTTTGTCATTTTCCAGAATTTTCTGAAATGTTCCACATTTTTCCGGAATGAACTAGAATTTTCCGGAATGATCCAGAATGTTCTATAGTGCACAATATGGCTGTTCCATCACCTTCCCGAACATTTAAGAACTTTCCAGAATGTTCCATGGTGCTCTTTAGCTCCATCTAGAACCTTCCATAGGGATATAAATGGATCACCAGAAATCACACATAACTCAGTTTTTACCAAGTTACTGAGGTGAACACATCATTTACAAAGTTACAATTCTGAAAGTCAGTTTCAGGAAGTCAATTTGCTCTTTACATATTGCTGCAAAGAACATGTAAAGGAATTATTTTTTGATAATAACTAATTTGTTTTTAGTTCTTTTATTTTATGGTAGTCAACTTGGTACAAAAACATTATTCTTTTCAAATCTTATATACATTTCTCAATTCTGATTGATTGCTTGATTGTTTGTTCCCGGTTAGCAGCCATACCATTGGTCCTAGAAACTTGAGGTTTGGAATGGATGAGGGGCTGGATAAAGTGTTTCTTGTGAAGTGCAGAGTTGTTCCTCGCCCCCGGGGGTGGGGGTGACCTCGAGTGTGACCTCGGGGTCACTGGAGGTTGGAATGGTCTGGGGGACAGGTTGAGTGTTTTCTATGATGTGACTTTTGTTGGTTTCTGTTGTGTTCCATGGATTACTGTTAGTTGTTTCATTGTTTTCCAGAGTTTTCTGGAATGTTCCACGTTTTTCTGAAGTGGGCCAGATTTTTCCAGAGTGGTCCAGAGTTTTCTGGAATGTTCCATAGTGCACAGTGTGGCTGTTCTATCACCTTGCAAAGCATTCAGGGGCTATATGGAGTGTCCGTGGTGCTCTTAGGCTCTGACTATAGCCTTCCATGGGGATGTTGGTGGATCACCGGAGATCGCACATAGCTCAGTTTTTACCGGGTTGCTGAGCTGAACACATCATTTGGTGGGTTGCAGTTCTGGGGGTCGGTTTGCTCTTTGCATGTTGCTGCCGGGAACGGGTGGGGAAATATTATTTTTTGGTAGTAACTACTTCATTTTTGGTTCTTTTATTTTTTAGTGGTCAACTTGGTACAGGGGCTTTGTTCTTTTCAAATGAGTATTGTGTATGAATAAATATATAAGATGTGTGTACGGTGTATATGAAATCCCCGGATGGAAGAACTTTTAGTGTTATGTACCAAGAGGCTTTGCGGCAGTTTTTTTATAGTACCCAGGATTGATAGTACCCAGTTTTTTGGTCAAGTAATTGATTTTTGCAGGGTGGGTTTTCTTGTATACTAGTAACTTTGATTTGTTTTGCCAGTGCCCAGCAATGCAGGCACCTCTGCTTGTATATATATTTGTATTTATGTATAGGTAATATATACATAGTATACATAGTATACATATAATATATATATATATATATATATATATATATATATATATATATATATATATATATATATTTATTTATTTATTTATTTATTTATTTATTTATTTATTTATTTATAATAAATATATATACTATATATTATATATAACTATTTTTCCTTGAACATCAGTTTTTTGAAATTTCAAATTTAAATGTATATATAAAAATGCAGTAATAGTTTCAACTTTTTTTTTATGTTGTCTAACTAATGAATTGCAGAAAATTCAGTTAATTGCTTTTTTATTCTGGGAAAAACAGTCCTTTTTTTAATAAACATGGTTGTTTATTATTATAGTGGTTGTTTTGGATCTATGAAACCTAGAAGGTTTGTCAATCTACACATTTTCAATATGTACTTGAGAACCTGAAAGTTGTAAATAAGAAATTTTAAGATGCAATTGAGAAACACAGCATGTAGTTAAGAAGTTGTAATATGTAATTTAATTTTATATTTATCAAGTGACAGAAGAAAAGTTTTTGAATGTGTTAAGCAAAATAAAAATTGGGCGACACAAATTTTAGGTGCCAAATATAAGACAGCATACAATTGGGTTTGCAGTGGAAATTCAAATTTCATCAGAAAAGATGGTTTTAAGCCAAAATTATTGATTGAAGATCAAATCTAAAATACGAACATGAAAACAAAAATAATTTTATTTCAGACAAAAAAGAAGTGCAATAATGAAAATGCTTAAAAAGTTCAAACATACATTTGATTGCAGCTGTATCAACAGCAAATGTTGAAAATAGAATATATTTTTGTGTAAATATAATCAGAATAACTAAATACATCCGATGGGATTTTTAGCCTCATTGTAAAATTTTTTTTTCAAGAATTTTTTATTTTACTGATGTTTTATTATTTATTGAAAACCTACCCATTTGGCCAGCTTAGCCAGAGGCAGATCCAACTTAGCCAGAGGTGGATCCAGCTAAGGCTAAAATTACAAAGTAAATTAAGGTTACAAAATCAGAAATACAAAAAACTTCCAAGTATCTATATCATAAACCTTTCTTAATTACAACTATTATGTTCTCAATTACATCTTACAATTTCTTATTTACACTTTTTATATTTTCGATCACATTTTATGTTTTTAAATTTTTTTTGTTCTTAAATCTTTTCTTTCTTAATTACAACTTTTGTGTTAACAATTATATCTTGAAAAGGTGTAGAATCATTCAAAAAACACAAAGTATTCATATTGTTGAATGATTTTTTTGCAGTTAGTACTTTTAAGTTTTCATGATTTGTCTGTTGATTATTTGTTACCTAAAAACTAAAAACAGCTAAACAATACAAAAACCTCTTAATCAAATCTTAATTCACTCAAGATTTATCCAAGATCTTCAAGCCAAACGCTTGAAGGTCTTGGATAAGACCATCAAGCATTTGGCTTGAAGGTCTTGGATAAATGGATAAGACCATCAAGCATTTAGCTTGAAGGTCTTGGCTTGAAAGACAAGACCTTCAAGCCAAATGCTTGCGTGAAGGAGAGTAAATAGAAAAAAAAAATTGAACAGAAAATTAAAAGATGTTAGCCTGAGAACCCTTTAAAATTAAATCACAAAAGCATTCCCCTATGATAAGGTAAATCTTATGTAGAATAAGTAAAAAGTTAATAAGGTCACGTCATGTTCTGAGCTTGTTCTCAAAGAGAACTTGTTTTCACAAGAAAAAAATCAGGTTTAGAGACATATTATGTTTAAGAGACAAGAATTAAGAAATTACAAATTCAAGTAAATGACATTAGTAGCAATTTATTTTTTTAATTTTATTTTATTTCACCTTCCCAAGGCCACTATAGCAGAGGAGGCTACTTTAGATGTCATTACAACCCTCTCTCAACTCTATAACTCCGAAAGGAACCTTGGTAAACAAGGTCACTGTGTGGAGAAACAAGTTGATAAAATGGATAAAGAGATAGGTCTTAGTCAATTTGGTCTAAAACAACATTAAAAATAGTGCAGTCATGAAAAAAGTTAAAAAGTGTTGAGCAAGAGTCAAAAGAGCATTTCATAACAAATAGTTTGATTTATTTTGTATTCTGATTAATACAAAAATATTTTATTCAAATTGGAACCTTTTGTTTGCAATAAAAAAAATTATTTTTTAGTTAGCAAGTTTTGTAAAACAAAGACTTTCTTTTTTTATGCAGCAAGTGTACCTTATACCTCTCACCTGACATTTCCCTTCTTTGTGCTCACCATAGTTTTATTTTATAAATTGTTATTTATTTAAAAACATTTAATTGTTACTAATGTTTAGTTATTGATAACATTTGTTTATTGATTAGCTGTTATAGTGTATAAAAACATCATTTATTTATTATATATTTATTTATTGCTCATTTATTTAATAGACTTCAGTTTTTTTAATTTTTGAACAATGAAAGTTACAAGTTATTATATCAACAAATTTTTGTTGTTTTAAGTGACCTTGGACGTGATAAGAGATTCTAAAAGTTTGATATTTTATTTTAAGAACAAAGTTTTTTTCTTATTTTTTGAAATTAGGTTCGCACCAATATTGTTGACTTGCTTCATTCAGCACCACTAAAAGATTTAGTTGATATAAAAGATGTTGGTGATGTTTTAGCAACTGTTTTATATGTCCCAGAGGAATTGACTCATGAAACAAAAGTAGTTTTTTTGCTCTTTTTTTTTTTCAATTCTTTTTTTTTAGCGAATCAAAATTAAGACTATTGCTATCTGAATATTCATCTTATTAATTCAATTTAGTATCAAAGTTGAATTGATTATTGTAAACACTAAATAAATTATGTATTTTAAGTATTTTATTTATTTGTATGTCTTTGTAAATATTTCTAAAAAAATGTAAGTTTGTGCTAACCATACCTTGTACAAATAAAAAATGCCTGATCCAAGATTTGATGATGATTTTAAAAGCCTCAACTGTTGTGCACCTTTTTTTTTGTTTTTTTGTTTTTAGACTTTTTTTTACATAAAAAGTATTACAGTAATTAAATTATGTTAACTGTTAATACATACTTAATAAATCATTAAGTTAATAAATCAATTTCATTGCAGTATAGTATTATGGAGTAAAATTTTTTTAATAAAAACTTTTGTTTTTATTTACCTCAAATTAAAGTACATAAAATATTTTTTTTAAAAAAAGCTGTAAGCATAACTAAACTAGCTGACTTGTTTATTAGTTTTGGGGGACTTTCTATATATATTTACAGAGTTTCTTAGTTGATATATTATTCTTAACATTTTTTAATTACTTTAGAATGAAATACAGAAAATTTTATTTCTTAAGAATCTATAAACATAATAAATTAGTTTGTTACTTTTAGGGCAACATATAAGTAACAGACAAAAAGTATTCAGACAAAACTCCTGTCTTAAAAAGTGCTAAAAATGTTAAATTAAAAAAAACCCACTATTAACACAATATTATTTCATATGCTTATCTATGCTTCATAAAAATTTGCGGCCTTGAAAGTAACTTTATATTCATTGAACTTACCTTTTGCAAAACTTAAACAGTATCTTTTTTTGTCTCTCTAAACTATTTAACTAGTGATTAACTGAGTCTTCAGTTAATCACCACTACTGCATATATATATACATATATATATATATATATATATATATATATGTATATATATATATATATATATATATATATATATATATATATATATATATATATATATATATATAAATATATATATATGCGGTAGTGGTGTAGTGGTAAAACATTCGCTTCATAAGCGAGAGGTTCTGAGTTCGATCCCCACTACGTCCCTGGTAGTACTGCGCTCAACTTGTTTCTCCGCGCAGTGGCCTTGTTCGTCAAGGTTTGCGTTTTGGAGTTATAGAGTTGAGAGAGGGTTATAACCACTATTAAGTAGCCTCCTCGTCTGTAGTGGCCTTCTCGGCCTTGAGGAGGTTAATAACAAAAAAAAATAAAATATATATATATATATTTATATAAATAAATATATATATATTTGTATATATATATATAAATATATATATATTTATATAAATAAATATATATATTTGTATATATATATATATAAATATATATATATTTATATAAATAAATATATATGTTTGTATATATATATATATAAATATATATATATATTTATATAAATAAATATATATATTTGTATATATATATATATATATATATATATATATATATATATATATATATATATATATATATATATATATATATATATATATATATATATATATAAGTATATATATATATATATAAATTAACAAAACATATATATATGCATATATATATATATATATATATATATATATATATATATATATATATATATATATATATATATATATATATATATATATATATATATATATATATATAGATATATATAGATATATATATATATATATATATATATATATATATATATATATATATATATATATATATATATATATATATATATATATATATATATATACAAGTAATTAACTGAAGATTCAGTTAATCACTTGTTAAATAGTTTAGAGAGACAAAAAAAGTATAATGGTGGTTATAATCAGTATAATGGTGGTTAATAATTTAGTGTTAATGGGGTTTTGTTAATTTAACATTTTTACTTTATTCATACTTTTCTTACTTCCGATCTTTATTCATACTTTTCTTACTTTTGATCTTTCTTGGAAACCATCTAAGGTTGCATCTCTTTTTTGTGCTCGCCACCTTACTCCAGAGTGGACCTTTGAATGATGCCATTTTTTTTTCATTGTAAACAGTTTCTAAAGAGCTAGGGTCTCTTGTGCTATCTGTTAAAATTTATTCTTGTATTGTCATTTAATTAAGTCTCATTTTTTTACTGCAACTGTTCCTAAGTGTTCCACAAATTCTTTTTTTGTCTAGATTTTTATCTCAAACATCAGTTCTTTGAAATTCGCTCCTTCCATCTTTTTTTCCATATTCATATAATTTGCAATCTTTTAAGTCGTCTGTTATTTGTTATCTTGCTTTATAAAGTTCATCTTTTTTCTTCGAATAACTTCCAACTCTGATAGTGGTTGCTTGCAGACTTGTTGGAAGTATATGTTTTTTGAATGATAAAAAAAAAATTTCAGAATTTTAGAGATCTTACATCAATCATAGTTAGTGTAGGGTGCTGTAAACAATAAGTTTTGTGGTTCCTTATGTCTGCTAATTAACCCAAAGCTGTAACAAATAGCACATATTTGAATTTTTTACAGCTATTGATAAAATCACTTTCACCTTAAGCTTCTACAGAATTCTGGAAATCTTACTTGTAAGCTTACAAACTGATTTAAAACCATTAAACTGAATTTTAGAACTGTACCCTCTACAAGACAGTAGCCAATTAAACAGTAGTTAACTTTCTCCCTAAGATGAATACTTATAATTGAGACACCATCTCTAGTTTTTAGCCATTAAAGAGTTCTAAAGCAGAAAGTCTTTCAAGTCATACATTGGATTAGTAATTATTTTTATTGATTTGTTATGATTTTAACAGAAAGTGTCAATTTAAAGTACGATGGTTTCAATTTTAATAATGTATATTTTATAAGATATTAAATTTTTTATTTTTCTATATAATTAATAGTAGGAAAAAAGATTCTATAATGGTATTATGTGCATTGACAAAAATGCTATTGAAGGCTTATCTTTTGTAAATAATGTTTTTTTTTTTATTATAGAGTTTACATTAAAATTTTGTCATCAGTTTAGTGCATAAATGTTGTATTTCTTGTTGTATTGTAGACTAAAATCAAAACTACCTATTCATATTAATCATATATCATATATATAGATATATGATTAATATGATATTTCTATTATAGATTCTATATATCTTTTTATATGCATACAATAATATATATATATATATATCTAGAAAATGGCACGAATAATAATAGATGTTTGCAGAACGTCCATAACTCGTAGTCGGTTTTTATAACACATTATCTCTGAAACGTATTGGCTTTTGCCCTCTGGTTGATCAAGTACTTCTTTGATACTCTGTGATAGGTTCTTTATCTTGCATAACCACTTTACATGCAACAGGTTTCTCTCTAATAATAGAACAAAGTTTCTTGTTAAAACTGCAATCATCGCCATCCACATTTGTCTTGGTTAGACGCTTATTCCATTGGTTGCAATGGGCCAATGTACCAAAATTTTTTCTCATAATAATTGCTCTGTTTTGGCCAGCCTGAGAAATGAAGGCTGCTGGCTCTGACTTCGACTCTGGTTTCTGGCAATACCATCAGGGTGATCCACTTTTAAAAACTCATAGTAAGAGGAGATCTTAACTGCTTCCCCATCATCTCAGATGGATTTCTTGAATTTCCTGCATGAGGTATTGTCCTATTGCTTTACAACATTCTACGTAAGTAAGCACTTAATATACCTTTGTCTGTTAAATAAGCTTTTATACCCATCTTGACTGTCCCTACCAAACTTTCAGCTAACCCATTAGATTATGGGTGATAAGGGGGCGTTTTGTATGGTGAACATCCTATTTTCTTCAGCCTTTAGCATAGAGCAGTATCATGAAATTCTGCAGCATTATCTGATACCATAACTTCAGGAACTCCATTTCTAGAATACACGTTTTGGAGTACTGTTTTAATTGTGAGAGCATCCCAATTGTTAACCTTTATAACTTTAGGCCATCCAGAGAAGGCATCCACTAAAATCAAAAATAATCCAACATTCTTTAAAGAGGCACGATCCATGTGCACCCTACACCAAGGTTTACTTTCACTAGGCCATGTATGTATCATTTTTTCACTTCTTACTTTTATCTCAGCACACTTTCCACTATTTTTTACATATTCTTCCACATTTTTACAATAACCAGGCCATCATGCTTCTAAATTTAATCTACATTGAGTCTACATAATGCCACAATGTATGTCATTATGAACCAAATGAATAAATCTCCTTCTCAATGTCTTTGGAGGTACAATAAAGTCACCATTACAAACAATTCCTTTTTCAATAGTTAGTTTATCCTTGTTTGATTTGTAAGGTCTTTCTGCCACAGTACATGTTCCAATCATTTTTACAAATTCTGCTTTTAATATCCATCAATAGTCTATCATTTTCTGTTTCGTTTATAATCTGATCAAGGTTCACAATTTCTGATTTAACTAAGTGTATAAAAGTCTCTTGAATATTCTCTTCATCTTGTGATAGAAAAGACAATCGTGATAATGCATTTGCATAAGGAATACTTTCTCCCTTTTTATAGCTAATATCAAAGTCAAAGGCCGTTATTTGCAGGGCCCACCTTTAAAATTTTGGCAGAAGTCACCTTAGGAAGTTCTTTGTTAGAATCAAATATGAACTCCAATGGTCTGTCATCTGACCTTTTACCAATCAGAAAATGCCTACCTCTGTGAGTAGACCACATTATAGCCAGCGCTTCTCTCTCTATGTTAGAATATCTTGTATCTGCATCAGACAAAGATTGTGAAAGAAAAAGAACAGGGTTACCATCTTGTAAAATATACCAGATATTTCTTTTTCACTAGCATCAGTTGTTAATTTTAGATCTTTATTGATGTTGTAAATTTTTACCACCGGGTCTTCAGAAAGGTTCTTCTTTAGCAATTCAAATGCATTTTAATGCTCTTTTTTCCACTCAAAGGCAACTCCTTTCCTCCTCAAATTATTTAACGGTAAAATCTTTTCAGCATATCTTTCAATATGCCAACCATAAAAGTTTACTAATCCTATAAACGATTCAAGTTCTTTTTTATAATTGGGAGGACTGATTTGGATTATTTTGTTAACTAAAATATGATCTGGAATAACTCTCTTCTCACATAGCTCATATCTTAGAAATGAGGGGCTTTTTGTTTCCATTACTGATTTTCTTTTATTTATGATCATCCCTGATTCTTCCAATTCATTTAAAATTTTCATCAAATACATTTTAGTTCTTCAGCATTGTTACTACCAACGCATATATCATCTTGAAATATAATCATATTAGGAATAATTTTCCCAACAATAGATTCTATTGCTCTTTAAAATATAGCACTTGCAGTTTTTATTCCAAAATGCAAGCATGTTCATCTTACCAATCTGATAGGTGTGTTAATTGTTGTTATTTCCTGTGCATCTTGATCCATCTCAATTTGGTGATATACTCCCTTGAGATCAATTTTGGCAAAGTACTTCATTCTTGCCATCTAATGAAATACATTCTCAATATTTGGATCAGGATATGAATCTGAACAAACCTTTTGATGAACTCTTTTTTTGTAATCTGCACATATACATAGATCTCCATCTTGTTTTCTGACAACAACATGTGGTGAAGCCACTTGTTGTTGTCAGAACATTTCCACAAACAAATCAGACTGTTTATTACAAAATCAGACTGATTATTACACAATCAGACTGATGGTTGTATGGAAATTTATTTTGAATATTTGGCAAATTAAATATAATCTTTTAAGCTCAAACAAAGTAGCCATAATATGTATAAAACCAGTTGAAGATGATTGCAGATAATGGAAACATTTACAATGTGATTAAGAAAAGATATTTATTTCAAATAGAGAAGAAAATTTATAATAACTATAAAGTATATAATCTATGCAGTTGTCTTGCTCTTGCTAATCAACCCAAAGTTCCCCAAAACTTTTTCAGCATTGCCAAACACAACACCATCTTTGATGTTTTACAATTGTTAATGAGATAAGCTTCTCTGAGAGTTTGATTACATCTTTACATTAGCATTTACTTTGAGCTAATGGTAATAATCATTAAAGATTGAAATATTAAACAAATCAAATCAAATATATTCTTAGTAAAGTTGCTACATCAAGGATTCTTACAAATAGCATCAAGTACTAATATGAAGTAAACACCTGTCAAGTTCAATAATAATAAAAGTTGGAATAATAATATGTTTTAGCTTTCCAACTTTTATTAATAGTTATAATACAAGTAATTTTAAATTAAAAAACATTAAGTTAAAAAGTAACTTTGGTAGTTAATATACTAAACTACCAAAATGAATAACGTCAAAAATCAATAGTAATAAAAATAGTGAAAATGACAAAAATAATTGTAATATAAATATGAATAATAGTAGTTCATTTAAAAAGTATATAATAATATAATATATAAAAGTATAATAATAATATCACAATCACAATAAAAATAATAATAATAATAATAATTATGATAAAAATATAGTAATGAAAACAATAATGATAATGTAGAGAATAATAATAAAAATACTCCAGTTTAAGAAAGATTAAAATAATGAATTAAAAAAGTTATTTAAATTAGTATTATAGCACAAAAGGAAAAAGAAAAATATTAGATTATAGTTTATTGTTAGGATTATAAATAATAAGTTGTAGAAAGGTTTATAAACAACATTAAAATATAAAATTTGACTTTTGATTTACTTTTGATTTAATTGGTCACATCTTCATATTATATTTTTTTAAAGTTTAAACTTTTATATTTTTATATATTATCTTAATTGTTTAATTTGATAGTATTTTTATTTTTAGACTAATGCAGTGGATATCATTACAAAAATGTCTTCTCTACTGACAGAAGAAAATATAAAAAGTATTGGTCCTCATATTTATGATCAGATTACACAACCTTTTATTTTTTCAATATCAAACTTGTTTAGTGCAATTGCTAACTCGAATGATGTTCAAAAATCAGTTGGTAAGTTTTTAGTAATTTTACATTAGTTTTCTTTTAATTCTTAATTTATTTTCAGAATATATCAACTATAATCATTTTTAAAGATAGATACCATTAGGAAGGTAAGCCAAGCCGTTTATCATTACAATACATTACAACAATTCCATCACTACAATTACATCACTACAATTACCCAGAGCAATAGCATTTAGCATAAGATATTTCTAGGTTCACATAACATTACATTAAACATTAACTAAATAATTTTAGTAATAGTTTTCTAAATAGTTGCCTGATTATGGAAGAGAACAGACTCAACTTGCGGGCTTGTCTGATTGCGGAAGTGTTTTTTTTAGACATGTCTTTGAAGCTTATTAAAAATCTTTTAAAGTTTAAAATTTTAAAAATTTAAAAGTTAGAAAGGTTAATCTTGAAACAAGAGAGAGTTTATAACTTATAAAGAATTACAAGAATTTAAGCTCTTGAAAATTTAGTATTTAATTTAATAAAGCAAAATGGCAAGTTGCAAAAACATGTTACTGAATTAAAAGATGGAAAATCAAGTAATCTAACTTCTAAAGTTTTGTATATAATTTTTTTTACTACAAATAAACCTGGAATAAATGACCAAGAAATGATTATTCCCATTTTTAATGCTGTCTCCATTAAAACCGCAGATAGAATAAAAAGAGAGAAAAATATATTAGTTTTTGGTGTTGATGAATTAAAAGAAACAGATGTTAAGAAAATAAAAGACAACGATAAAAAAGCGCTTAACAAAATTTTTGATGTACTTAAATAATAGCAAAATCACACATCATCATTGTTTTAATTCTAAAAATAATAAACTGGAAATAATAATTGCAGAAATGACAGGTAAACATTCAGCGCACAAAGTAATTAAAGAAGCCAGGAAATTAAGTAAAATAAATGAATACAAAAGCAAAGTTTATATTAACCCAGACCTTATATTAACTCAACGAGAAAGTAAAAAAATTCGCCAAATAAAAAACAGACTCAATAATCTAGCTATCAGCCTATTTGGTTTATTATCAAAGATGAGCAAATCATCAAGTTTAAAATTAACAAAAACGAACAACTCTAAAAATTTTCTTAAAACAAAAAATTTAAACAACAGTAATAATTTAAAAATAATTCCAATTCAAATAAAGAAGTATCTGTTTATCTTTTTAATGCAAGAAGCCTTGCTAATAAACTTCATTAATTTATATACAGAGCTTTAATTTACATATGCAAAAACTTTTTTAATAATAAACTAACCAATGACATTATTTGTCCTAATGGGTAAATTTGTTGTAAAGACTGTCGAAATGATATTAAGTCTAAACAAGTTGCGATTACTCAAAACAATAATGATATTGATATTATTGTGTTGAATTCTTTAGAGCGCACAAACTTCATTTAATTACATGCTACCATCCATCTTCTTATTCAAAAATAGATTTGACTATCGCGACTATAATAAATTATAAATGATTTGTGCTACTCAATTTCTCAATTTACTATTTTGGATGATTTTAACTTACCAAAAATTGACTGGATAAACTATATTTCACCAAATGAAAAGTGTCATAGCTTATTTTTAACTCTAGTCAATAGTCTTGGTATGCATAAATTTATTCACGAACCAACACTCAAATCCAATATTTTAGACCTTGTTTTTTCTTATAATATTTCTCTTTGTAAAATTTCTGTTGAGTGCCCTTTTAGTACCAGCGACCATAACTCAGTCCATTTTTTATTAAACATCAATGATAAATATCATCACAAAAAGAAATTGGAATCTTTTTATGATTTCAACAAAGCATATGTAGATAACCTTCTAATTTACTTTTCAAATATTTATGGGGACTATTAATTTTCTTATGTATTCAATATTAATAAATATTGAAACATTTTAGAATTCAGATTGACCACTTTGATCCGGTAAGAAAAATAGGTCATAGTAAAAAGAGACATTATTACCCTAGATAAATCAAGAAAATGTCAAGTCGTAAGTTATTTTTATGGAAAAGATATTCCGTTACTAAAAATATTCCACATAAACAAGCTTACATCACATACGCCATCAAATGTAAACAAACCTTGCTTACCTTAAAAGAATCAAACTCAAATTAGTTGATGACAATAAACTTAGTTAGTTCTTTAACATGTCAATAATAAACTAAATAATCTTATAAGGAACTACCCTATAAAGAACAAAAACAGCAATTTCAAGTTAATTTCTAGCGATAAAGAAATGCTGAAGTTTTTGATGGACACTTTGGAAGTGTAGGCGGCTATTTGCCAAATTGTTAGTTTTGTTAATGACTTGATAAGCATTGAAGACGGTAATTTTTCTGTTGAGACGGTTTATTCAACTTTAATTTGTCTCAAACTCAGTACATCTTATGGTACTGACGGAATACCAAACATTCTTCTGAAAAAGCTAGCTCTTGTTTTATGTATTCTGCTTTCATTTTTATTTGATGCCAACTTTAGATTAAATAGTCTGCTACAACAAACGGCTTTTGTTTCTCCGATTTTTAAAAAAGGAGCGAAATCAGACCCTAATAATTATAGAACAATTTCACTCACATGCACTTGTTTTTGTGCAATGGAAAGAATTATTAACTCGGATATTATTAAATACTTAACTCTTCATAACTTAATAGCTAATAATCTACATGGTTTCCTCAAGAAACGCTCTACATGCACTAGTCTCCTAGAATCTGTTAATGATTAATGATTAGAGTATTGCGCTACACAAAAATCTAACAACAGATGTTTTATATATTGACTTTCAAAAGGCATTTGATTTTGTATCTCATCCTAAACTATTAGCCAAACTTGCTCTATTTAACATGAGAGGTTTTTTAAAAAATTGGATTGCTGCATTTCTTAACAATAGGAGTCAACAAGTTAAGGTTGGAATTTCATTATCAAACCCAACTCACATTGTTAGTGGAGTTCCTCAGGGTAATGTGTTAGACCCAACATTCTTTTTACTATATATCAATGATATAACCTCTCTTGTCAACCATCTTGGTTGCTCTTTAAAGCTTTATGCCAATGACATCAAGTTATACAGTTCATTTTGCAATACAGACCATAGCCATCACTTAGTTAATGCTCTTAATAACATAGTACTTTGGTCCGAAACATGGAAATTTTCTATTTCTACAAGTAAGTGTTTTGCTCATAGAATTGTGCCTGCTTCATTAAGAAAACTCTTTAACTATAAGTTAGGAGATCACAGTTTAGCTTGATCTTCTATTCCGATAGATCTCAATAACAATGTCGAATAGATATTCGCAAATTTAGTTCTCTTACCAAGTTGTTAACATCTTTAAGAGTAAAATTAATTCAATCAATTTTGAAAAGTTATGTTGGCATTGACAGCATATCTTATTGTTTAGTTATATATAAATTATTTATTTAATATTGGACTAATTGTAATTGTTAGTGTCCATCAATATGGACCTATGTGCCCTTTAGAACATGTGTTAATTGTTCTAATAAATACAATCTAATCTAATCAAGTCACAACACTTGCTTGGTTTTTTTTTTTATAAAAAAGCAACAAAGTTTTTGTAAAAATTGAGTTGTTTAATATTAAAAAAATAATTGTTGAAATAATAAATTAAATATAATATTGTTTTGTATATCATTTATTAAATAAAAAGTTATTTATTAATTAAAATGTTATTTCATTTATTAATTAATTAAAATCCTTTATTAATTAAAATGTTATGTGGTTAACTTTTGGAACTTTATATTAAATTTTTTGTAAAAATCATGTAGTTTATAAGTTTTTTACTAATTAAATAAAAAATAATGCTAAAATAAATAAAAAGTATTAATGATAAATTAAAAGTACAATTAATTAATAAACCCATAACAAACATACAACTTGTGCTTGTAAACTATGAATTTTTAAAATGAAAAGTCTAAAGTCTTTAAATTAGAAACATTAGAAAATATAACGTTTATATGTGCAACTTTTTTCGCCTATTATTCCTTGACTGGTAGTTTATCATATTTTTAAATGCTCCTGTTCTTAAACATGCAACATATAGTTGAACATGGAAGAAACATGTTTTTTTTTATATACACTAACTCCATCAAACAACTTTTATTTGAGTTTCATAGCCAAGTTTTAATAAATTTCTTAGTAACATAATTATACAACTAATTTTAAATTTTAAACAATGAAAAGATATACCTGTAGGAATTAAGCTGCTCAAAAACTTCTCCCATGTTCATTTCACTTGCTTATTGATTGACAGCCATATTAGTTAGTTTTATACTAACTCGTTTTTATTTTTTATTTTTCTTCGTTTTAATTTCATTCATTCATTTCATTCAGCATCTTCAAGTATCTTATCAATAATTGAGCCATTTTCTCTAATAATGCACTGAGGTGGTGTTTCAATGCATAATTTAAAAGGATCTTCCTTTTTGACAGGTATTGTTCCAATACCATGTTTTAATAGCCATTATGATAATAATTCTTCCTTATCATGTATTCTCATATTTTCATTCATATGCAAATTTTTTATTAAAAAATTGTTACAATTTTTATTCATTATTTTTTATTTTTAAGTTTTTAATTTAATTTTTTATTATTATTATTTTATTACCTACATGTGGTGAGGAATAGGTTTTGAAGTATTTACTTTAAATTAGTTTATATTTAGTTTTTTTTATTATTATTAGAAATTACCTCACCAAGGTCATGAAGACTACCACAGCCAAGGAGGCTACTTAAGTTGTGGCTACAACCCTCTCTCAACTCTATAACTCTGAAGCATAAACCTTGACAAACAAGGCTGCTGCACAGAGAAACGAGTTAAGCGTGTTACTACCAGGGATATGGCGGGAATTAAAAACTTGAAACTTTTCATTTATGAGGTGAGCATTCTATCACTATACCTCTACCTCATAATTAACTTTAATTCCCTAAAGTGTAACAAACATTCTAACTACTGTGCCATGGCTGTTCATTGTGGCTGTAGTTGTTAATTGATCTAACTTAATTATATATGTGTTATTGTTTTGAATAAGATGTTTATTTTAAATTAGTACTTGCATTGCCTTTAAATAAAGTGTAAGAACTACTTTCATTTGGCATACTTAATCTAAATATTATGTTCATTGCTTAGGCTGCCATGCTCTATCTATAATTGTTTAACTTAAATCATGACCTAATTAACCAAAAGCATTTAATAAAATTAAAGCTTTACCACCCCCTTACTGTTTTGCTATATCTTTTACAAATACTTGCGGTCTTCAAAGTAACTGAAGACCACAAATTTGAGAATAATTTGAATTTTGCTGTTTTTTTGCTCTTTGATTTATATCGTGTCTCTGAGGTATGTTTTTTCTTGTTCTTCTTTAGGTGGTTCTGACTATGTAATGATCTTTATAAATCTTTTATCTCAAATTTCTTGTTTGGACTCTATTATTGTACTACTATACTGCTAAAGCTGAATGCGGTACTTTTTGTGATTTTTTTTGTGACAGTTTTTGTGTTGATCTCTTAACTGATAAATATGCCTTTTACATAATCTTCTGGACAAAAGTATTGAGGCTTTAATTACTTTTCATTGGTTTCTCATTCTACTCCATAGTTTTCATTTTGTTGTGTAACTGCTACATCTGTTGTTTCGAATCATAGTTTTTTTTCCTTCTTATTAGCAAGAACAACTCTCTTGAGAACAAAGGCTAATTTGATATCACAAGAAATAAATGTAAAAAGATGCTGCTTGATGATAAACTTAATTATTCTTAGTTTACTAAACGCTTTTTATGGTGTCATTTAAAAAAGTTGAACATTCCATCTCTTATACATGGGTCTGATCTTATTACCTTACCCAAGGATAATTTGCTTGACTATTTGCAAAGAACTTTTACTTTAAATTGACTTTTTCAATCAAATGACCTTTAAATCCATATACTTCCTGCCATTCCTGTTGAACAGATTGACCAATTGTTAAACATCCAAATCACTACACTTTGTTGCTTAAGTTATTTTTGAATTAAATTCTTCTATGGGTTGTGGTTTGGACAACATTCCTGTCTTAGTCTTACTAAAGTGTTCTTTAGTGTTTGACAGTGTTAAGTGTTCTGTTATCAATTCTTTCTAAACTATTTAACAAATTCTTGACTGAATCTTATTTTACTGCCTGCTGGGAAGTGACATTGATGGTTTAAATTTTGAAAAACATTGGAAAACACTCTAACCCTTACAAGTATCATGCAATTAGTCTTCATCATAAGCTTTCATATCGTATATATGGGTGCTTTTGAGATTATTAAATTATTTATTTCTAACCACTGTGGTTAAATGATTTTAATAACTTAACTGTAGTTAAATGATTTTGGTAAAAGTTTGGTCTAATTCTATCATTTTAATAATTTGCCTATAAAGTTGTTTTAAAGCCTTTGGAATCTAGAATACAGAAATAATCGAAATCCTATGCATCTCCTAAAACTCAGCCCAAAGTTTTTATTATTATTACTGCTATTATTATTATTATTATTATTATTATTATTGTTATTATTATTACATTAATTTTATATTAGTTATACTTTTGTTGTTCTTAATCTTGTTTTAGTTTTTAATATTTTTTTTAATATTGTAATAGTTGTTATTATTGTTTGTATACAAAAAGCTAAGCTATATATAAAACTATAAAATACATAAAAATAAAATATATATTAAAATTTAGTCCATAACCTATATCAAATGAAAATTAGCATAAAAAACTTTTTTATTGTCATCTACTGATTAAAAATCAAGTCCTTGATAAATTTTTTTTTTTTTTCATAGTTTGTATTTTCTTATATCATAGAATTTTTTTCTGGAAAAATAATATTATTGACAAAAAAAAAAACATAAAGAAAAAAAATTTGTACATAATTTATCATGAAAACCAACAAAATAATTTGTAGTAAACCATTTCTTTGTAAAGGGTTCAATTGCTTTTAAGTATATTTGATTTCAAGAATTAGGACTTTGATTCCAAAGACTTAAAACTTCTCATTCCAAATTGAAAAATTTGTGTTAGAGAGTTTTAAAATGTTGGTGATCATTAAAAAACTATAAAAACTTTTATTGTTGATGAAAAAAAGATTACATTATTTACATTAAGAAATTTTCTTTTGACTCGTTGTGACTTTATTTAAATAAACTGACTTAAATAAAATGACATCATTTTTGATATCAAATGAATGACTTTGGATGCCAACATACAAAAATTAGCATTGACGACACATCAAAGACTTAACCTTATACATTGTTATGCAGTTAGATGGCTTATGTTATTTGCATAAATAATTTCTTTTTTAAAATAAAGTTACATCAAAAATCTATTTGTGTCATTTTTATTTGACATAAGTTATATTTGTGTCATTTTTATTTGACATAAGTTTTATTTTTTACCATTGTCTTATATAAATTTTTTTTTTTTTTTATGCAAAGAAATTGAGGTTTCAACAACACAAGCTGGTCACTTATCTGAACAGGTTTTTGTTATTTTTTTCTGGCTTTATTTTTTTATTTGTATTTTTGTTACTTATTATTTCTATATTTTAATAAAATAATAGCTCTTGAAATTAAAAAAAAAAACAAAAAACAAAAAAAAAAAAACAAGCATGGGTTTGTACCAATTATTGCTGGCATCATCATCATAAATTTATTATCATTATCATTATGATCATCATCATCCACTGTTTAAATTGGGAGTTACCAGAAAACAAAGAATTGTTAAAAGCAAGAAAATGGTTGAAAAACTGTAAATTGTTTGAGTTGAGAAATCATAGAGATAGGAGAGTGTTCTAAAGAAAACATGAAGTGTTCTTAAGAAAACATGAAAATAAGAGAGTGTTCTTAAGAAAACATGAAGATAGGAGATAGGTGTAAAGAAAACATGAAGATAGGAGATAGGTGTAAAGAAAACATGAAGATAGGAGATAGGTGTAAAGAAAACATGAAGATAGGAGAGAGTTCTAAAGAAAAAATGATAATAGAAGAGTGTTCTAAAGAAACAAAGGCAAATGATGAACAAAAAGAAATTTGATAAATAAATATTAGAGCAAGAAGAGACATACAGTAAAAAAACTTTGCTGAATGAGAAGTCACAGGAGATTGTGTTTTTCTTGATCAAACAAAAGATAAAAACCCATTTGAGCAGCAACATGTTGTCTTTTTAGAAAGATGCAGGAGACAATGAAACAGGTTTATAATTGGCAACTAGAGCATGTTCATTTAAAGTATATTTTTAGACCTTTTATTCCAAACAAAGAAAAGATTAACAAAGACATAGAATGGAGTTAGGAGTATCTTCAACCATAATGCTAATATTGAAATTGTTATATATAGGGTTTCCATGAGTGGTAAGTAGCATATGATAATTCTAAACTTGAGAAATTCGATAATGTGTGTACATCAATATATCACAGTATTATACCTATAACTATTAACAGTACTTTTTTTAACTGAAAAACTGATTTTTGTTGGTATTAAGCTCTCACAAAAGAGAAATCAAATCCAAGATGTTTGCTAGTTCTAAGTGATTAAAAAGTGACAATGTTTTGTCAAGACTAGAGTATTTAGCTGCGTCATCAGTAAGTATATTCATTTTTAAGGTAACATTACTGTTCATCAAAAACAGTGGTTAAAATACAATGATTCAATATTTTTCAAAACACTCCCAGATATGTTACATGAAGCAAGCTTATGGAGAAAACCAGTATGCCAGACTTTAAAATTATAGAATTCAAACTTTTTAATGTTTGGGCTGTTGTCAAGAGCAATAGCCCAAACCTTACTGCTCTTATATAATGCATGATAATTCTTTTCTGGTTTACAGTTTAACAAGTTTTTGTTTTTAGGTTAACAAGTCAATATATTGATAAAGTGCTTGCTTCATAAGCAAGAAGTTCTAAGTTTAATCCCATACCATGTCCCTGGTAATACCGCGCTCAACATGTTACTTTGTGCAGCAATTTTGTTTCAGGATTAAACAGGTTTCAAAATTAAAGAGTTGAGAGAAGGTTTCGACCAAAATAAAGTACATATACTTATGTTACAATTCAACCATTTGGTATGAAATCAGGTTGGAATCTCTAGACTACTTTCTAATAAAAAAAATACTAATTAAAATTTTTTAAAGGATTTGAGCAAATAAATTTAAATTTGTCCCTATATTAAATACTGTGGTCATATTTGAGCTGGTTTTTCTAATGACGCTCTTTCTCTTCTAGACAAGGTCCAAAATGAATTTTAAATATACTTAGATCTGCTCTATCTATTAAGCTTGAGCCACATTCCAATTGTTGTCAAGTTGCATCTCTTTCTCTTTTCTACAAATAAATGGTTGCTGCTCAAATGAGCTATCACCTCTATTTCTTGTTTTTACAATACCACTTATTGTTACCACTTACAGTTTTTTGTCAACTGTTTTTAAGTCTTCTTTTAACGGTTTTCTTGCTCTTTAACAATATACTTTGTTTTTTGATGACTCCCAACTGAAATAGTGATTTCAAAAAGCAAAAACTTCTATTAATAATACATCTAATTCACAATAGAAATATTCTGTTATAATGGCTTCTGTAAATATAATTCTGTTATAATAAATTAATACAATTTTGTTATAATAATATAAAGTTGCATCCATTTACTGTATTTGTTCCTGTAAGCTCTAAAAATTTTTATTCGTCTATATTTTACTAACACTTCAACCCTTTGGAATTTTCTTACATCTTTATATTATCCTGGCTCACAACCTTCAACATTCTAAGACTTCTGTCAACTGTTTCCTTGCTATATAACTCTATTCGTTTTTTCCTAGTAATTCCCAACTTGATATTGGTTGCTTGCAGCCTTGTTGGAAGTAAATCAGAATAAAAAAATTAATAAAAAATAAATAAATAAATAAATAAAGCATAGATTCTTAGAACTCTTAAAAGCAAGAGCTCATGCGTTAAAAGAGTTTGTTGAATCAACAAAATATTTGTTAAGTACATAATACAAATTTGTAAAACTTGGTACAATTCAATCAAAAAAGCTTTTCGTAAGTTGTGTCAGGGTGCTTGTCATATTTTAGTTTGGTTTCATCAATTCTTGGAAAAAACTAAAATTGAATTCTTAAAACCACTTTTACAATATGATTAGACTTTCATGAAGTTGATGTTGGTCATAGTTGTATAAAATGTCTTTGAACATATAAAATTCAAGTTTAACAGGTGTAGTACAAAATGGGTTTAGTATACATTGTTGATTACCTTCGAATAAAGACTTGTTATAAAGATCATGGTACTGATACATATTGGCACTATAGTGAGTATGGTGCTTATCTCTATGATTTAGAGGTGGTTTGACAAAGCCAACAGTCATTTTATTTTAATTTACTTTCTTTTACTGTGTGCCTTTGGAACTCTCTCTTATTTTCATATTTTCCTGACTCATACAACATAAACCTTTTAAGTCTTCTGTCAATTGTTTCTTTATTTATTACTTTATTTAACTCTTTGCTTTTTTGTAACTTAATAGTGGTTATTTGCAGTCTTGTTGGCAGTGAATTAGTTAAAAAAAAAATTTATTTTGAGCCTCTGAAATTAGTAAGGACATAAGTTGTATATAAGACTTTTGATTAAGTCTGGCATGCTGGTCTTCTCCATAAGCTGAATTCATATGATTTTCTGGGTACAATTTTAATTGAGGAGTTCAAATTCACAAGTTAAAAGATAATAATTTGTTTATAACTTTAAATATTTTAAATAACAGTAAAAAGTTGGGAATTTTTTTTAAACTGAAAAGTTGTAGTTAGATTAGTATATGTTTGAACAACGTCATGATATAAAATAATTAAAATCAAATATGTGAGTAATTTTTTTACTTTTGTACTAAAAGTGTGTTATATGTTATAAATTTGTCAAATTTTTTCAACCTAAATAATATTTGTTTAAAAAATATAGAGAAAAAACCAGAACATATATATTCTTAAGTTTATTAATTTGTTTAAACTTTTTTTTTTTTATTAAAATTTTTAAATAAAAATTTATTTACTTGTAAAGTATTTAACTTTATTATTGGCTTGCATGCCAACAATAACGGTAATTGACCATCTATATGGAACATCTGTTTTCATTAGAAAGGCTAAAATGTGAAGATGGTTTTAGACTATTAAAACAATGCATTATGCACATTGGGTTTTTTTACAAAGGAATTTTTGACTTTTTCTGTTACTTACTGCTGCTACCTCCATAAATCTATCTCCATCCCCCTTTATTTTCAATAATTTGACAGCTAAAATTATTCTGATTAAGAATCATTTAAAAAGAAAGGTCAAAAAATTTTGGCAAGGTACGGTAATTTAATGTCAAAGTTACAAAAATTACACAAAAGACACAAATATTCACCATCTTTTTAAAATGCATTTTTCTAATTTTGCAACCCATAAAATTGAGTAGACTAAAATTTTTGAAAGACATTTTTAATTTTATTTTTTTATTCTGATTCACTCTTAACAAGACTGTAAGCAACCACTATTAAGTTGGATGTTACTTGGAAAAAAAAAAGAATTTGTAGGGCAAGGAAGCCATTGACAGAAGACTTGAAAAGTTGTAGTTGTATGAGTCAGGAAAACATGAAGATGGGAGAGAGTTCCAAAGGGTTAATGTGCGGGGAAAAAACTAGATGAATAAAAGTTTTTAGAGCATGCAGGGACAGATGCAGTAAATGAATGAGACTTGATTGCTGAATGATGAGCCAAGCGAGAAATGAGTTTTAGTTGATGGAACTAAAGATGATAGATAAGAAGATATAGAGAAGAAGTATTGGTAAGAGAGTTGTCATTCATGAATTAAGGAATATCAACCATATTGCAATAATTGTTTGATGTAAATAATTGAGTTTTGTTGGAGTTAAAACTTTAGTTTATTATGATGTCACAACTTTATTTGTTAAGGTTTGTGTTTTGGAGTTAAAGATTTAAGAGATTATTACACAATAATGATGTAGTGATAAAGCATTTGCTTCATAAGCAAGAGATTTCAAGTTCGATCCTCACCAGATCCATGGTATTACTGTGCTCAACTTGTTTCAGCATGACAAACTAAATAAAAAATTTAGGTTTATCATATCTTTAATGTTGGCAAGACATTTAGAATCATTAAATGTAAGAGCTTTACTTGGATGGAAGTTATGTAAAAGCTGTATGTCATAAGCAGATGTGTCTGCAGCATACCCAATCGATCTCTTCTAATAATTAGGAGAATGTCCTATTAATTCACGCAGTATTGCTTTGCATCAATGTATTTCCTCTGCAAAGAAAAAATATATAAAAAATAAATTGGTAAAGATTTAGCAGACATGAAATTAGTAATTCACTGATGAAAACACTGTGTCTTACTCAAAAAAAAAAGGAAAAGAAAAACATCCAATTCGGATGCATTTACAATATTAATGATAGGTATTATTATAAAAGATAAGTGTTTCTGACTACAAAAATAAGTTCTCATTTTAACACCTATTAATCTAGTGAGTATGCTTCTAACTACTTTTAAGTTTGTGTAATTGTTACACCAAAAGCAAACGCGACATTACTTTCGCTCGTTAGTGTAATTGTTACACCAAAAGCTAACAGAAATGCAACAGTGACAAAATTGGAAAATTTATTCAACCCTTTGGATATCCATTGTTGAAGTTTTTTATGAAGATGACAAAAATTTTCAAACATTGTTAAGTAAAAAAGATTACATAAGTGTTGACAAAGGAAAAATTGACAGAACACATGTAAAAAATTGCTTGCTTTTGTGTAACCTCTCTTAGTCCATATAAGTGAATTCATTATGACTAATCAGTCATTAGGAAGCCAAAAAAATATGAGACAATATTTTAAATAAAGATTAATTATAAAAATAATTAAAATAAGATTAAAAAAAAAATCATAAACTTTAAACTTGTGTAGCAACAATTTTTAATTTATTTAAAATACAATTACAATGTGTTTTATATACAATTACAATGTATGTAAAAGAAAAAAGCATAAAATTGAATATAAATTTAAGTATGCTAGTTTTTTAATTAACTTTTTTATATATATAAAAAAACTAAATACGCTGAATTTAATTTTGTTATAAAAAATTTAACTTTCAAGCCATATATTTTAAAGAATAAAGTTTTTTGTCATTCTCTATTCCAAGCATATAATGATTTTATTTGAAATTTTCATTTTAAAAAAATTTACCTCGGAACCCAATTTTTCACTAGGGGAGAGATTCATTGTTTAAAATTGATTTCTAGGTATTTTATAACTAAAATGATTTTTTTTTTATGTCCCTAAGGCCGAGAAAGCCACTACAGATGAGGAGCCTACTTAATTGTGGTTATAACCCACTCTCAACTCTTTAACTCCGAAACATGAACTTTGATGAACAAGGCCACTGCGTGAAAAAGCAAGTTTTAACTTATGTATTTAAATTCCTTGTTTAAAGTTACCTATTTTAAGCTTTTTCTTTTTTTTGAAGATTTGATTTTATAATGAAAAATGTAAATTTATAAATGGCGCAAATAGATCAAAATAATAATATTAACCAATATTAAAACAATCACAACTCAGCAACTGTTAGATCTTAAAATTTAGGGTTTTATCATCTTTTATAAGGTTACTATTGTAAAAATATGAAGAAAATCTATGAACATAGGGTTGCATGGCCTGATTGTTTTGACATTAAATTACTCCATAGTGAGTTTGTCTTTGAGTTTGTCTACATTTATTATTTATGTTTATTAAGTAAAGTTTGTTCTACCTTTTTTTTTCATATTTTTCTTTCAACAGAACACACCATGCTTTTTAACTTATTATGGTGTTTTTGATTGATTAATTTTGAAAATAAATGTTTTGAAAATTGGCTGTTCTGTTGTACATTTAGTCTTCCTGAAGACCTATTTGATATGGCTTGAATAAAATAAAGAGGGACTGTTGACTTACTGCATTTTTCTAAATAAAACTTGAAAATAATTTTTTAAATATTTAAATATTATGAACTACAATATCTAAAATATTTTTTTAACAGATATTAAGCTCTCACAGAGTAGATATATTTAATAATAAATAAGTTATTTTATGTAATAAGTCTTTAATTGCCTACTAAAATAAAACCTTATTTTTACAGGTTAAAAATAGTTCTAAGTCAGTACTAAAACTCATTCAATCTATGGATCATTATTTTAATGGTTTGCAATACTACATTGCTAATGATGAAGATCCTATAATCGGTGATACACCAGCTTTTAGGTTTTTTTTGAAAAAATTTTATGGAGATGGGTTGAAGAATATTTCATCAGACGAATATGAAGATGAACTCTTAGAAGAAAATGACAATGAACAAAGTGGTTTTGCTATTGAGAACCTTACTAGTCTTTTGAATGATTCAATAAAATATTCAAGTCTTATTATAAAGGTTTTTTTTCTTGTTGTATTTTAATCAAATAAATATTATATTATAATTATAATAATAATGATATAAAATACTTATTTTATTTGCTTCACTACTTTGTTCTAATTTTTTATAGTAATTAGTTTCACTAATTTCTTCCCGTAATTTGTTTCAGTATATTTTCCAACAACTTTTTCCAGGAATTTGTTTCAGTAATATATAGCCGTAATTTCCTTAAAACCAATAGAATTTTGCAATAAATTCAGTTCAGGTCAGGTGTTGGATCATTATGATTACCCTACCACCTGCTTGTGTAATGTCCTATTATCTTTTAGAGGCTAAAGCTAGGAAAGCCTCTATAACTCTGACAAAAAATACCACCTGCTTGTATGGGGCTCTTGGTTGTGAAAAGACTAGAGATTTATCTTAAGCAAATGTAAATGACAAAGGCTGCAAGCATGTAGAAGGGCTCCAATGTTTCTATTAGTCAGCTCTTCCTCCTATATATAGGGTAGCATAAATGTAAAACTGTGTTTAATTGTTTCCTGCCAGGCACTAGTTTGTTTAGAAACTAATCCTGAAATATTGCTTTATTCTTAGTTGTAGCTAGGCAGCTGCATAGCTTATTGTTTAGAGCATCATGCACTATCTATGATTGTTCTCTAATTAATAAAAAAGTCTCTAATAAAAAGTTAATAATAAATTAATATTAAAACCAAGCATTATTACCAACTTGTTTCAATTTATTCTTTACAAATATTCATGGTCTTAAATGTAACATAGATCCATTGAATCATACCTTCCCAAGTAGCTTATAACCCATTAAATCATACCTTCCAAGTTTTCTTAAATCTGCAATTTTTTCAATGTTTGACTAAATCAATCAAGCCCTTTATCTTTCAATGAACATTTTTTATCCTTTATCCTTCAGCCAAAGTTTTTGTTATTGGTTACTTTAATGCTACACCAAGCTGGCTGTAGTACCACTAACATAATTTTTTGTCTTTCTTAATCTCTTACACGGATAACTTTTACTCCATGATTTATATCTGTAATACATTTTAATTAATTGTAATCCAAAATTATCAGTTTTCTTTCTCTAAAACTCTTTAAAACTTTAATAATTTTGTTCTTCTTTTTCATTAAAAAACATCAATGCAAAAAATCAATCCAAAAAGGTGTTGTCTAGCGCTAAGGTCTATTATTTATAGATTATTAAGTCTTATATTTTATCTCAGGAATTAGGTTTTAAAAAATTATTCACAATGTCAATAATTAATTAAATTAACTATAAGTTAATTTAATCATTCAATTAAGGCAAGTTTAACATTCCGGGGCTTAAATTAGCACAAAAAAAATAAAAAAAATTTAGTTTTATTAGGGGTTGTGTTAATATAAAATTGTATCTTTTGTACATTAGTTTGTAACCGTAATTGTTTTAGCACATTACCTCTTATATTTAAATATTATCATATAGTTTCCTCAGTAGGCAGAGTTTAAATTTGCGTAAGTTACTGTTATAATTACAGCTTAAGTTTTAAAAGTTTAAGTTGCAGTTATAGTGTAATGAGCAAGTAACATATTTAATACTATTAAGATTGATAGAGTAAACATATTTAATACTATAAAGGTGATAGAGTGAAGTGGTGCTAAACGAAAGCACATAAAAGACTACTCTTTTATGTGCTTTCTTTTAGCACCACTTCACTCTATCACCTTTCTCTTTGTTCTATATTGCTCTTCTTCTTCTCAAGACTGCACTCTTCTTAATGTTATTTCTGATCATATTGACCAAGCCTTTATCTTTTTTTATCCATCAGCCAATCTTGTTGTTGTCGGTGACTTTAATGTGCAGGCATTTCTCAATCCCTAACTCAAATAGTCAACTTTTCAACTCGCTTTCCAGACAACCCGAATCATTTACCTTCTCTACCTGACTTATGTCTTGTTTTTGATCCTAGTCAGTGCTCAGTTTCTCCACATTCACCCTTAGGTGCCTCTGATCACAGTTTGATCTCTCTAAAACTGTTATCTCATTCTTCTTCATCATTAGAATCCCCCTATCATTGTACAACTACCTTGAAGCTTACTGGGACTCTTTCCATGGTTTTTTTCATGATGGCTCTTGGGTAGAAATCTTTCGTCTTCCTGTTGACAAATATGCCTCCTACATAACTTTGTGGATTCAGGCTGGCATGGAATCCTTTATTCCCTCTCATTCACTCTCCTCCATGGTTTTCCTCACATTGTGCTGCTGCAATTGACAATCAAAACCGTTACTTCCATATCTATCAGCAAAACAATTCTCCAGAAAACAGGCGTCTATTTAATACTGCTGAGACCATTGTAAAAAGATTTTGTCTAATGCGAAAGCACGCTATTCTCAGGTCACAAAATCTTGTATTTCATCACAAAAATTAGGCTCGTGTGACTTCTGGAGAATTATTAATAGTATCAATAATAAGGGCAAGTCTGTAATTCCACCTCTCTTGTATGGTTCAGACTTTGTCACCTCACCTAAAGACGATGGTGAATTATTTGCTAAGAACTTTTTATCAATATCATTTCTTGATTCCACTAGTTGCGTTCTACCTGATATAGCCATCAAACAGGTTGATCCATTGCTTAACATTCATATCACTCCAGCTTCTGTATCTAAAGTGATTTCCTACTCAGACTCTTGTACAGATTGTGGCCCGGACGACATACCTGCTATAGTCTTGCAGAAGTGTCCTCAGGAGCTGTCGTCTATCCTTTCAAAACTATTCAACAAGTGTTTATTAGAATCTTCTTTTCCAGCCTGCTGGAAAGCAGCATTTGTTATCCCTATTTTGAAAAATTCTGGAGAGCAATCTGATTCATCTAACTACTGTCCCATTAGACTTCTTTCTATTATAAACAAGGTTTTTGAATCTTTAATTAACAAACACTTAATCTTATATCTTGAATCTAATAACTTACTTTCTGATCATTAATATGGATTTTGATCTTCTCCTTCCACGGCTGATTTGCTAACAGTAACAATTGATAGGTTTTTCATGCATTAGATAAAGATGGAGAGGTTAAGGCTGTCTCAAGTTCTCATACTTTTGATATTTAACAAAAACTTTTTATCAAAAATATTTTTTATAAAATTAGGTTAAAAAATTTCTCCCAAATTTTTCAGACAAGCATCATTTTATGCTTTTTTAACAAGCTTGGAAAAATAGTCATAACATAAAAGACTTGGGTAGATAAACATTAACAAAATGGTTTTGTGACATCAGATCAAAATAGTTCTTTTTGTACATTTATACTACTCTATACTATTTTTCTTCTAAATTACTTTAATCTTTCAAGAATCATTAGTTTGTTATTGTTTGTAATGTTAATTATAATATATTTCTAAATTATATAAAGTTATTAAATTTATAAATTTTTTTATTTCAAATGAATTATATTTAATTGATTTAATATTTTAAATTTTCCAAATAATATGTTTAGAATCTTAATTTGAAGAATCAATCATTTACATGGGATTTAGAACGTTCTAAAAATATTGTGTCTGAAACTCAAGTTTTATACTTGAGCACAACAAGCGGAGAAAAAATTGAACTGAAAAACTTGACATCTATGATTGATATCTCAATAAAAAACATTCCAGAAAAAATGATTGGTCAAAACATCTCATTATCAATGCCAAACAATGTTCAAATGAATTTCATTAATATATCATCTGTTGAATGCAAACTAATGGTAAGGTTTGTTGCATTAAATGATCCACAAAACAAGACTAACTTAATTGTTTACATTCAATATGGAAAAGCTCCAACAAGCGATGATTATGATATTAAATTAAACATTTCAACTAGACATGGTACTAATCTTATTATTGGAAACAATACACCACGTTCCAGTTCATCTATAAATATCCAACGAAGTCAAAAATGTAGACTGTTAAATGATGGATCAATTGTATTGTGGGATTTTCATAACTCCACATATTCTTTTTTAAACAAATCTTTTCTTTATTTATCGTATTTTTATGTTGGACCAGTGCCTGAAAAGATATTGGAATCAAATCTGTATACATTTGATGAAAAGGAATTTTATGGAACATTTCTTTATGAGATGAAATCTTTTTGTGTTGAATGCAACTATTGGAATGAAAGTAATAACAAGTGGATGTCAGATGGATGTGAGGTATGGTTATGTATTCGATTTTTAAAGCTTTTAAGGCTTATGTATTTGATTTTTTCGAGACTTTAATTTAAATATGTTCTTTCTTTTATATACATGTTTATATCTATATATATATATATATATATATATATATATATATATATATATATATATATATATATATATATATATATATATATATATATATATATATATATATATATATATATATATATATATATATATATATATGTATATTTAAATCTGTATCTATCTATCTATCTATCTATATATATATATATATATATATATATATATATATATATATATATATATATATATATATATATATATATTTATATATATATTTATATAGTATTAGTATTTTTGGGTTTTACAACATGTAATCAACAAGTTTGCTACACAATGTTGTAAATGTGTAAATTATTGTCAATCAGGATGACTATGAACACTTTTTATTCCTATTTGCATCATAGAAGAAAATGTGATGTTTAAGGTTGTATGCGTATTACAAGGGCAAGTCCATAGTCTAGTAAACTGTATCCACTATGATTTTCCAGGTTATGAATAAAGTGTAACAATTTTTATAGAGTGTTCTGCTGGTGGCCTTGTACTGAATTTTTTAGTAAATTAAATGAAGGTCAAATACCAATATAAAACGACAGATCTAAAACGCTTTCTCAGGCACTTGAGAGGAGAGGAAAGATAACTAATTTTTTGATAAGTAATTTTTTGTACTTAGAAATTTAGTTAGTAAAATGTTTTTATTTTCCTTTATAAACATGTTTTTTAATTTAGAATGCTTTCAAATAATAGTTTAAGTATTGTGTTGCAAAAAAAAAAAAAAAATTTGTCCTAATTCATAATTACAATAATATTTTTTGATATTTAACTTGCTAATGGTTTAACAAATAATAAATTGCCAACTTGCTAAAAAAATGATTAATCTGATTTTGGATTATTCTGTAAGAAGTTCAAAGTAAAAATTATATTCTAAATACCGTTTTGTATATAAGTACAGTGTATAAAAGATTTTTTACAGTATAAAACTTGCATTTGCATTGTTTATAACAACGCATTCATAGGAGCTAAAATCAGACTTATTAGTTGTAAAATAAGATATTTTTTAAAAACACAAATATATTTAGGCTTTTGGATTTTTTGGAGAGTGTTCAAAGTTATTAAAGGAACAGAGCAGTAATAAGTTAGTAGAAAATCACATATCAAGTTTGTTCATTTTACACAGATTTCATTAGTAAATAATCAAGTTTCATCAATCAGAATATCTGTTCAATCTGATTGAATCATCAGATTTTTTGAAGAGTTTTTATTGATGAAATAATGTGCAAAATTAAAAAAATTTGATAACTTTTTCTACTTTATTATAAGTAATCACTTATAGTTTAATAAGTGATTTACTAATATATATATATATATATATATATATATATATATATATATATATATATATATATATATATATATATATATATATATATATATATATATATATATATATATATATATATATATATATATATATATTATATATATATATATATAAAGCAAAAGATAGTCAAGCCAGTAAGTAAAAGTAAATCTCTTTTTCTCAAAATGTTTATTATTAAAAATATTTTTTTTTTTAATTTTCAAAAAAATGCACTAATACAAAGTATTTTTATATGATTAATTAAATAAACTTTAAGCATTAGAGGCCTTTCAAAAAATCATCAGTAGTGCTGTTTTGCTATTGTAGCAAGATTTTTGTATACAAAATAAATTTAGTTGCATATTGTTGCTATGAGTAATTATTTTGATAAATTAAATTCTGATAATACACAGGAAGTATCAATTAAAAGTATCATGCTTTTCACTGTTTGTGCAGATGCTTTTTGTATGATAACAAAAAACTTTCATTGTAAGCTCAAGGAAAACTAAAAGTTGAAAAAAAGTTTCAATTACATTTTGCTGCAATTGTTGACAGGTATAAACATGGTTGTCAAATCTATTAGTTGATAGGCCTGTTCTGCAACTAGAAATATGTCAATTTATTTGTAATCTTTAATAGTTAGTTTTGCCAGTATATTGTTTTTTGTGTGCCAAACATTTAAGGTAATAAATTACATTTTTGCTGTTGCATGCGATGTAATTTTTTATTTTCCAGATAGTACCATTAGAAGTTTCAAACTCATCTACTTCTTATATTCTTCTAGTAGGTAGAGTTTGCATATTTTACACCAAATGTCTTTTGCATTTTCTTATTATTTGCTTCAACTTTTAAAGAAGTAAGTTTTTCTTTACAATTGTAAAGAAACAAAAATCTTTTATTAAAGATGACTGGGATTTCCTCAGAAATCTTCCAAGAGAGTTTGAATCAGAAAGTATAATGACATGTTAATCTTTATACAAGCATCCCACATTATCTTAGAAGCCCTAAAGTTCTGGATATTTAAATATAAAGAATTGATAGATAAAAGATTTGAATTAAAAATTAAGTTCTTTTATTTTAAATAACAATAGTTTTATATTCGATAAACAATTATTTCAACAAACAATTGGTACAGCCATGGGTACAGATTTTGCACCAGATTATGCTTGTCTCACTTTTCCGATAATCTTACCTTAGTATTTTTCAAACCGTGAAGTAGATGATATAAAGAAATTTTATTTTAGATATATGTTGATGGTTTTATAGTCAGGTCCAAAACATCTTGACATCATAAGTTTTAAAATTTCTTTTACTGAATTAAATGAATCAATTAGTTTTACAACTGATTTTGGCAAAGAGTTTTCTAAAAATGATAACACCTACAGTTTAATAAAATTTTTAGACAATTACTCTTGAAAAAATTCAAATGACTACTTAAACTATAACAGTCATCCTTCATTATACATCAAAAAGAATATTCCTTATAATTTAGCTAAAAAAAAATTTGTTTTTACATCTAAAAACGAAATTAAAAAAAATTAGTCTAGCTGAACTAAAGTCATGTTTGGTTACATCAGGATATTCTCAAAAGATTGTGAATATCCTAATGTAATTATAGATAAAGCATTCCATAATGCAAAACTACAAGGAATAATGCTACAAAAGAAGTCTTAAGAAATATTTTCTTTAGTGACAACATTCTATTGTAATCTCAATTGTCAACCTTTAATCTCAGAAGCTAACCTTATACTCAAAGTATCTCAAAATGAAAGAGTCAAAAATGTTTTTACTAATATTCATCCGGTATTAGCTTTTAAATAACCCCCTAGCTTATTCAAAAGACTTAATTCTTTAAAAGTTGAAGCAAACAATAAGAAGATTATTTAAATGCGAAGACATTAGATGTAAAATATGCAAACTCTACCTTCAAGAAGTAGATGAGTTTGGAACTTCTAATGGTACTATCTGGAAAACAAGAAGTCACTCTCATGCAACAGCAAAAGTGTAATTTATTATCTTAAATTTTTAGCATGCAAAAAATAAGCGACATACAGACAAAACTAATAATTTAAGAATACGAATAAATTGACATATTTCTAGTTGCAGAACTGGCCTATCATCTAATAGATTTGACAACCACGTTTATATCTGTGAACGCTCCTACAAAAATGTAATTGAACCTTTTTTTAACTTTTTGTTTTCCTTGAGCTTAACAATGAAAGTTTTTAGTTATCATACAAAAAGTATCTGCACAAACAAAAGCATGATACTTTTAGTTCCTGTGTATTATTAGAATTTAATTCATTAAAATTACATAAAAAACTCTAATATATTGAATCAAACTGTAATGTAACATAAAGAAAATCAAACTTTAATAAATCTTATTTAAATTATGAAATAATAGTAACATACAATTACATAGTAACATACAAATACAGAGATACATAGTAAAGATACAAATTAACATAAAAATACATAGTAACATACAAAGATTCAAATAGCCTACAGTTTTTCTCATTCACATTTGAAAAATTCAACTCTGGCTCAACATTTGTCTGGATATAATTTGGTTGTGAAAATACTTCTCATAAGAAATTAGGTTTTTTTCATTTTTTAGCTCCACAAACACAAAAAGCTGGAAAAAAGGATCTATAATGGTGTTGTACGCACGTTGGCAATTGTATACATGGTTATCAAACCTATCTGCTGATTGCCCAGTTCTACAACTACTCGGTGTAGTTAAGGCAATTTACAAAATATTTGAATACTTTTATTTGGAATTAGCATGGTTTTATCAGCATATTATGCCCAAACAAGATCTTTATATGTTATAATTTTTTGATCTTTCAAGATCTTTATATGTTATAATTTTTTTATATGTTATAATTTTTTTTGCTTAAGGTTTTTATAAAATTTAAAGAAACTTTTCTTTTTTATATATACTTTTTAAAATCTTTTTACTATCCGTAATAGTGTATCTAAAGAACACTATTTTGGAGTCTTTAGATCAATTTTGCTCATCGACATTAACATGAGTTTAGTTAAAATCTTTTTTAAAAGTTACTTAATTTACTACTGATCCTAGTTCTAATTGGTTCTAGCGTATTTTAACTATATATATAGTTGTCAAAACACAATACTTCTATCAATTTTCACAAAAAATACTGGAATTCCGACCAAGAAAGAGCTTATAATTATAAATAATTGCCAATAAATGATTAGAACAGATCATATTGTTAAACTATAGTGTTCATTTCACCTAAAAAACGTATTAATATAAAATGTTATTTAAATTTGGACGAGCGGTTGTGATTTTAAGATGATTTAAAAAAAAAAAAAAGATTCCACGGTCTGGGTTTTTTTGCTACAAACATTTATATTTCATGATACCGCAAAATTTATTATTTTAATTTTTTTTGTCTTTTCATAATTTACAGACCAGACCATTTCACGGAAATATGTCATAATCAACAAAATATCATATAGATACCTATAATTTTTTTAAAGTGCCTTAACTACACCGAGTAGTTAGTTAGTTAGTTAAAAAACCTAGTTTCTAACATTTTCACTACTAAAAACATGATACTTTTTATTGACATTACAATATAGATTACAATAGTTGTTAACAGCAACATTAAATAATTATCATTTTCTGTTTTTTTAAAAAAATTATATTTTGTTGTTTTGATAACAAAAACAGCACTACTGATATTTTTCTAAAAGGCCTCTAGTGCTAAAATATTAAAATTTATAATTAGTGTAATTTTTGTAAAAATAAAAGAAGAAAATATTTCGTTTATTGTTTATTTTATTTTACAACTTATATATATATATATATATATATATATATATATATATATATATATATATATATATATATATATATATATATATATATATATATATATATATATATATATATGCATACACATATTATACAAAAATTAAGTTTGAGTAATGAATTTTATGATTGAAAATAATAAATCCTAAATTTATGTTATTTACAGGTTTTTTTTTATTATAGGTAGACTTATTAACAATTACATTCACAGTCACTAAATGTAAATGCAATCATTTGACTGCATTTGGTGGATTTTATGTTGCACCAAATGTAGTACCTACTCCTACTTTAGCACTACTGAAAGCAGGCTACACTCTGCTTGCTGTAGTAGTTTCTGTTATTTTTCTGTGGGTTATAAGCTTGGTGCTTGCAAGAAGAATTGACAAAAATGACATAAAAAAGGTAGTTAGTCATATTTTTTGTTGGCTGTTGTTAATTAACAATTAGTCATATTTATTTTTTGTTGGCTGTTGTTAATTAACAATTAGATTACAATTTTTGAGTTTTAAAATAAACAATTTGTGCTGATACTTTTTTATCTAGAATAGTTTTTCATTACATTAATAAAAATTTTGATTCTGATAGGAGTTCAAAATCTTTTCGTTTTCACTTTTAAATTGGTGGGGTTTTTAGTGTAAGAAATAATTTTACCACACAATTGTTGATACAAAAACTATAAAATATGTAAACAAAATAAATGTGAAATATTTGTTTATTGATGAGTTTTAATTGTTTATCTGTTTTTTACAACATTCTGAAGAATAAAAAAAGTAAAATTATATTTATATTTACAAAATATAAATATATTTTTTCTTTATTTTTTATGTAATTCATTATAAAGCAAAATGACTCATTATGACTCATTATATTAATCAACTCATGTAAAACTGGCTATGATATTTTGGCTATGACTAACCAAAATAATCTACAAACTGTCTGCAATCAAGAATTATAAAAAAGTACTAAAAAGAAATATTCAAAAATAAATTTATACCTTTATTAAAAAAATTCTTTGAAACATTTTGTCTTAAGAGAGTTTAAGCATACACGCATTATTTCCAGGTGGTGTTGCTACCACGGCAAATTTAAAAAACATTAGGCATGAAAAACTTTCAATATGGACGATTCAAGTCATTAATTTTCATGACTTATTTTTAAGTTAAAAGTGTTTCCAAAAACAATTTCAAAAACAATTTCAAAAACAATTTCTAAAAAAATTTCCAAAAAAAATCTGTTCTATAATCAAAGAAATCTTACTAGAAAATCAAAGTTTAGATTTAAAGTTTACTTTAAACTTAAAGATGATATTGAAAACTAGAAAGATGTTAACCTCAAAAACATTAAAGCAAATCATTCAAAACAAAAGTATGAGTTTTAAACTCATTATTTATTTATGTAATATACGTTTTTAAGCAGTGGTAAGAAATAAGATTTCTAGTGTTTTAAACGCGATACATTAGAAAGAAAGTTTTCCTAAGACCACTGCCTCGACATAATGCTTGTATGCTTAAACTCTCTTTTATATAACTTAACGTAACTTTATATAACTTTTATAATATTTATGTTACTAAATTCTAAAGAACAATTTTAATTAGTTTTTTTCTTACATTTTTTAAATTTTTTTTGTTTACACATTATTCTTACTTTAAGTAAGAATAATTTAAATTCCTTTTTTCGATTTTTGATATTAGCTTTGATAGCCATTATTCTTTGATTTGCCTTTTGGTTGACAAATAGTCACATGACCAGTTTAGAAATGTGACTGATGGCCAAGCAAAAGCAAAATGTTAAGGGCAGAGGGGGCAGCCAAACTTGGATTGTTTAGACAATTGTGATTGTTAGAGTCTTTTATAATTTTATATTGAACAATATTCCACCTAAACATAATTTTAAATTAGTTCTTTTTTTATTGCAAATCTTAAATGCTCTGGCTATTTATTTATTTTTTGCTTACGTCAGCTTAAATCTTTAAATTGTATTGTAATTATATGTTATGTTAGGTTGGAGTTTGCCCACTGATTGATAATCGTGTTGAAGAATGTTATCTTTATCAAATAACAGTGACTACAGGTAGTCGAAGAAATGCTGGTACAAAATCAAATATTTTCTTCAAAATTGTAGGTAGGTGACAATGACAAAATCAAATATTTTCTTTAAATTTTGTGCCTGAAAGAAAAAAGTATTTAAACAAAATAATGGCTATAAAAAGACTTATTATAAATGCTCATCATAAATATATAGTGTAAATTATATCTTGATGCTGTCTTGTAGAAAAACCTACAATTATATATAAAAAGTGAAAGACTTATAAAAAAATATTATTTAATCTTTACCATGGTGATGGTTTAATTTACATTATTTATTGTTTTACATTTTATTATTATTACTTTCTATGTTTGACTTGAATCTAAATGTCTATAAATAAAAACAATAAAAATAAAAAGGCAAGTTGTTCTTTTTAAAAAAAAAGGTTCTTTTTTGTAATTTTACTTTAGTCAAATACTATTTTTTCTAAAAGTTATTTGCACCTGCTTGTTCCATTTGGGGCTTGGTAAAATTTAGTCTTTGTGTCATTAACTATTATTCTCTTATTTGTTAAGTCAGATGATTGCCTCAACACATACACTTCCTAAATTTGTCATGAAATCAGCTTTTAACCATTTAATTAATGTATTGCAAGTTTTTTAAACTCGAAAATATCCATACTAGGATGCTTCACTTAGAGATTTTAAGTTCCTAGTTGTTGAAGTCATTTATCCATCTAAGTGGTTTTTGTAATTTTAAAACAAGTTTTTTTACTTGATTTTGAGTTTACAGAGGTTTTTTTAACTTTTTTGTTAATTTGGTTGGTTCTTTTTTATATACGCAAGGACACCTATTAATTAGACTTTGTTGACATGGTTCTAACATATCTATTATTTTTATTTATATTCAGGTATAAAGTTTGAGTGTTTTTAAAAAAATTTTAAAATTGCTTTCTATTAAAATCAGAGATGATCTTTAAAGAAATTTAGTTGATGTAAATCTGTCTTTATTTTAAATTATTTTTTTACTAAAATGACAATTGTGCATTCTTGTCTCTGCTCATGGTTTTTGCTTCCGCTTCCTTATTAGTGACTATGCAAATGTTATCTCTTAATGAGGGTTTAGCTCTAAAACTCAGTTTAATGATTAGGAGGCTGACTTTAAGTAGCTTTAATAAACTGCAAAATAGCAGAGTATTAACAGTACCATGTTATGCATAGATTATATTCCTGTTAGTACTTTTGGTATGGATTGTTAAGGCCACAAAATGAGCATTTTTCATGAAATTGGGTTAATTAGCAGGATTGAAGCAATAGCATAACATATTGTTCAAGTGCAAGATCTATAATTGAATCAAGTTATGTAATAATTTAAACTATATAAAAACAATAGTATCTAAAAAGTGTCTTTAATAAACTGCAAAATAGCAGAGTATTAACAGTACCATGTTATGCATAGATTATATTCCTGTTAGTACTTTTGGTATGGATTGTTAAGGCCACAAAATGAGCATTTTTCATGAAATTGGGTTAATTAGCAGGATTGAAGCAATAGCATAACATATTGTTCAAGTGCAAGATCTATAATTGAATCAAGTTATGTAATAATTTAAACTATATAAAAACAATAGTATCTAAAAAGTGTCAAATAAAGCTCATCATCATCACACATAATTATGATGTCTGATGATTCTTTCAGATTAGAAGCAACGAAATACTCTTTGGTGTTCTGAACTTTATTATTAGGATTCAAATTACAACAGTTATAGTTGCGTTAGTGATTAAAGAATTTAATTAGAATTAATACAGTTTTAATGTAGTTCTATTTATAATTATAGTTATATAATATACATATTTCTAATTATAGTTCTATATACTTGTATGTTATTATAATTCTGATTAAATCAAACTAAAAACTTGAAACAAAATGAAAAAAAAAAATTTTTAATGAATTTTATCTCATTAATATCATAACTAGAAATTGGCAAACAAATTGTTTCTTATTTCTAATTGTTAATAAGTTTTTTTTCCTTAAAAAAGGATTTAGCAGTTGCTTTTGAGCAATTATAAAACTGTAAAAATTTTAACTGAACATAGAACAGCAACTATTTTAATATTTGTAAAATAGAAAAATAGAAGTAAAATTTGAATGTTGTTGTTTTTAAATTTGAATTTGTTGTTATAATGTAATCTGCTTACTTTTATACAAGAACTTCATTTTTTCAATGACTATTAACTCATATCAGTGTTTCTTACCCGGGTATTACTTTACCCATTACCCGGGTAATTTGAAAGTTTAGGCAAAACTCAAAAAACAGTGAAATATGAAACACAAAGAAAAAACTTGCTTCTCTCAAAAAAATGTTCATATGGAAAGAAAATTATTATAAACAGAAACAAAAATCAATAATAGATCATCTAAAAATCATTAAAAAAACAATTTAATTATAATTTATTGTAATAATTAAAATTAAATGTAATAAAAATTCTAAAATTAAAAATTTTAATTGCTCTAAGATTATGTTAAATATTTGTCTCCAGGGATTACCAAACTGTCTCAATATTTTTAATTTATTTTTAATCTTCAAAATAGTATTTAATATAAGCTCTTGTAAAATTCACCAGATCTTGTTTTTTGTGGAACTAGTTTAATTTTCATTGTTCCATGTTTGAATCTCAGTATTAATGGTTATTATTTAAGATTGACCTTCACTTGTGTTTTCATAGATAAACAAACAATATCTAATCCATTGTAAAGTTAGAGTATGCTAAAGTTGCATTTATTGCACTTGCCTTTTTGTTACTTTTGATTCCATTCTCCTAAAATCTGTACAAAAAACTTTTTTGAACAGACTTCAAAATAAATTTTGAACAGACTTCAAAATAAATTTTCCTTTTTCTCGTTCTCATAAGGTTGCTACTCTTTTGCATATACTACCATATACCTATACCTATATACCTATACTATATACATATACTACCATATACCTATACTATATACATATACTACCATATACCTATACTATATACATATACTACCATATAACTATTTGCATATACTACTTTTGCATATACTTGCATATTTGGTTTGATGCTCCAACCTTAAGACCTTACATTGACTAAAGATTTGAACAGACAGTATACACGAGTTCTTCAGTCAGCTACGCAAAGTTTGCAACAAGTTTTTTTAAATTTAACTGACTTAATATAATATAAATTTCTTCTTTTTTTTCCTCTTTATGCTGATTATCAGTTAATCAAATTAAAAAAACACAAAATAAATAGAAAGTTTGACAAAAGTAGAACTAAAAGACAGTGGTCTCGTAGTTCTACTTTTGATGCAAAAAAGGGTTTTTTTTAATTTAAATTTTGAATTAATTTTTTTCTTAAATAATCATTTACATTTTTATAAAAACTTTTTTTCTTCAATATTTATTTGAATAAAAAAAATATAACATACTTATTCTTCAATAATTATTTTGTCCAAGTTTTATTTATAAAACTTTTTAAATATAATAATAATTACAGGTCAAAAAAAAAGTTTTTTAAAAGCCATGAAGTCAGCTACACAACTATCAGCTTAACATGCAAATCTTTATTATAGTTTAGAATAAAACATACAAAAATTTTATACTATATTTTAAGCTTTTATTTAGAAATGATAAAAATTGTTTCTTCAGTTTATAAAGGTTATTTTTATGATACCTGGTCACTCCTAAATGTCTAGGTACTTGATTTAAATTTATAAGTTTTTATTTCATTGTTATCATGCAGTTTTTGGCTGCTCACCTTGAACACTTCTATCTAAAACTTGAAAAGTAATGGTATTGACACAATTCTTTTATTTATTTTTTTGTTTTCTTAAAAAAGCTGCTCAAACCAAGAGAGTTGTTTATTTCTAGCTTTTTCTTTTCATTCAGTAATTTTTAATTTGTTTGTAGCGATTGTCACTTCACAGTGCAAGAAATTATATATTTTTCCGTTAAAACATTTTTTCTGGCAACACATTTTACAGCGGTTTCATTTCCATTCATAACTCTTTTTCCATGCATTGCAGCAAAAATAATGCCAGGGCATTCTAATTGTATGCTTTTCTTCTAAAATTTTTATTGATGCTAAAATATACTTATTTTTGAATTGAGATGTTGCGTTGTCACTGAAAATATTAAATGAAATTTTCAGTTGCTTGCTTTAGTATAATAAGTATAATTTTCTGTCAACTTGAATTATTGCCTTATTTGAGTCTTTTTGATTCGCCTTTTTGTCTTCTATCACTACAGAAGTATAATCTGCCGTTCTGGTGGAAATTCAATTTAATTCATCATTGTAATAAAAATTTTTAATAACCATAAAGTCTTTCTCTCTGAGATTGTTTGTTAATTTTTAGATTAAGTAAGTTAGTGGTTGAGTTTTATTGAGTAAACAGCTCAACAGTTTCTTCTTTTGTACAGGACATTTGGGAAGAGAACAATTCAATTTTTAAATATATTTTACTTTAACTTGTACATTTGCAAATGATGAGTGATTCAATTCTACAAATGAAGATATCTCTTTTTGCCGCAGTTAAGATTTACTCATTCTTTCTAAACTTTTTGTTCTTTCAGCTGCAATTTTTCAAAAATCTTTTTTCCACCTCTGTTTTCAAAGTCGAGCATTTTCTTTGGCTTTGTATTTCTTTTCGTCATGATTTCTACTCATGTAGTTTTTTTGATTCAGTGCTTTTCTATTTTTTTTTCTTGATAAATAAATTTAAAAAATAATTTAATAATTCTATAATGTTTACACAATGCACACCTTTTTTGTTTTCATTAAATGTGCAAGCAACTGGTTCCTAGAATGATTCTATATTTTTAAATTGACTATACGACTATGTTTTGAAGTTTTAAATAATTTCTAATTGAATATAAATGTTTCAATTAAAAATATATTTGGTAAAACATTTTATTGCTTTGAAAAAAACAAACAAAATTTGCGACATTTAACTATTTAGTTTTTGCAGTCAGCTACACAACAAGAAGTTTAGTGGATTTTTTTTAACTATTTGATGCTAATTTTTTTTTTATTATAACAAAACTTTAAAATGGCAAATTAGTTTAAGTAAATAATTGACAAGGATTAAAAAAAACTAAAATTGATGGAAAAAATAACGTGATTTTTTAAGAAACTAATTTGCTTGTATTGTGCGAAATATTTAAAAATTAAATGTTGATGCTTTAAAATATTAAACCAGCATTGCGTTCAACCCATTTAAAACTAATCGCTACAATTTTGGATTGCTACAAGGTATTAAAAAAATAATAATTACTTAAGCACTTTTTCAAATTATTTTTCCTCTTACTTTAAAATCTATAAATTGCTTGTTCAATTTATTTATTTACTATTTTTTAAGACATTTAAGACTATATACTAATTGTTAAAAAGAAAAAATTCTTAATTGTGATTTTTTAAAAAGAGATTTTATTTTATTAAACACATGGAACTCTACATATATATATATATATATATATATATATATATATATATATATATATATATATATATATATATATATATATATATATATATATATATATATATATATATATATATATATATATATATATATATATATATATATATATATATATATATATATATATATGCATATATATATATATATATATATATATATATATATATATATATAATATATATATATATATATATATATATATATATATATACATATACATATATATATATATATATATATATATATATATATATATATATATATATATATATATATATACATATATATATATATATATATATACTATATATATATATATATATATATATATATATATATATATATATATATATATATATATATATATATATATATATATATATATATATATAATATTTACATATAAGACTTGCATTTTATCAAAGAGATATGTTATTTATTTTCTTTTTATTATATATTTTATTTTTATTTTTTATTATATATTTTATTTTATATATATATATATATTTTTTAAGTATGAATAATAAAAATTGTTTAGGAGATTTAGGTGACTCTGGAAATCGGCGTTTAAAAGATTCTCATAGGGTTTGTTTCCAAAGATCTAATGTAGATATTTTTATAATGACTACAACAGCCTGTCTTGGTGATCTAAGCTATATGCAACTTTGGCATGACAACACTGGAGGAGGATGGTACTTAAGGTACTTTTTTTATTTTTACTTTTTTAAAGAATTTCAATTAAATAAATATTTTTATTGTTGTTAAGTTAATTTAGTGTTTTGCTACTTGTATAAGATGTGCTCTAAGGTTTTTTTATCTGACTTGCTTCAAACTTGATTTCTTTATTATGTATTTGAACATTTTTTATATACTGTACTATTAAAACAGTTCAAAAAATCTTTATTTATCTATGGGCAATTTCCAACTTTAGCAATCTTAAACAAATTCATATTATCCAATAAAGTATTAAATAATAGCATATATAATATATATAATAAACATATATGGCATATATAACATAGAATATTGTTTAAATATAAATGAAATAAAAATATTTTCAGTTTAATTTTTTGTATGTATTAAGCTGAATAGTTAGTATATATATATATATATATATATATATATATATATATATATATATATATATATATATATATATATATATATATATATATATATATATATATATATGGTAATAGAAAATTATTGGTAGAATGATTGTAATATTTCCTTGTAGCTTTTGCAGCTGATGGTAACGTTAAAATTAAGTAATTAATTTCCACTTCTTAATGAAAAATTTTTGTGACATATTGGTAATAAAACTTAATTGGTATTTTGATTATACTATTTTCCGGATGGTATTCATCTGATGGTAGCGTTGCAATTAAGAAAATAATTTTCTTTTCTTAACGGGAAAATTTCTCGACATATTGGTAATAAAAAATTATTGGTATTATTATTATAATAAATCCTTGAAGCTTATGCAGCAAATGGTAACGTTGCAATTAAGGAATTAATTTCTACTTCTTAATGGGAAAATTTCTCGACATATTGGTAATAAAAAAATGTTGGGTAAATGATTATAATATTTTCCGATAGCTCAAGCAGCTGATGGTTACGTTGCAGTTAAGGAATTACTTTCCACTTTTTAATGGGAGAATTTCGTAAAATATTGGTAATAAAAAGTTATTGGTATTATGATTATGTTATAATTTAAGAAATATTTTTTTTTCAAAATTTAATAATTTTGAAAAAAAAAAATAAAAAAAAGAGTAGCCACCTTGATTGTAGTGACCCCCTTCGACCATGGAATTGTGAATTCAGTAAAAATAAAAACCTCTTGTTTTGAAAAATATTTTACCAAATTAGATTTACATTTATGCTTTTTAATTAGAGGATAAAAAAAAAAGTTATTTTTAAATGTTCTCTGCTTTAAAATTATAAGCAAGTTTTCCTATATAAAATTTAGTAAACCAGGTTTTTTATTTTATTCAACATTTTCAACTTAATAATTATGCAGAGTCATTGTATTTTATGTAATTCAATTTTTGATGAACACATGATAATTTAACAGCAATAGAAATGAAACATGTCTTAATAACATGTTGAGTGTAAACTAATTTTTGTAAAAAAATTCTATTACTTTTTATTTATACAATGTTTATATAAATGTTTTTTTATTTAATAACATTTTTTTTTTATAATTCTTTTTAAATTTTGAATTTAGTTATTTTTTTCAGTTTAAATATTTATTGAGATTTTTATATTTGTTTTTAGAATTTTAATAAAAAATTATTACTAATATGTTGTTATTAATGTTATTGGTAATACTGTTAATATTATTATTATTATTATTGTTATTTTTATTATCATTATTATTTTTATTAGTGTTATTATTATTATCATATTTGAGTTATTTTTATTGTTATTGTTACTACTATTATTGTTATTATTATTTTTTTTATTGTTATTATTATTATTGAATATTATTATTATTGATATTGTTATTAACAATTTTTAATATTGTTAAGAGATATTGAGATTGTGGATCTTCAAACAGAAGAACTTTTCTATTTTATGGCAAATTGTTGGATAGCTGTTGATCAAGACAACAGCTCACTAGATCTTGTTTTGCCAGTATCTGGAAAAGAGAATATTACAAGTTTTAACTACCTTTTTCTTTCAAATGCTCGAAAAGGTTTCACTGATGAGCATTTATGGCTTTCTGTTGTGACGCGTTTACCTATTAGTAATTTTACAAGATGCCAAAGGATTTCTGTTTCTGTCTGTTTATTAATGACATCAATGACAGCAAGTGCAATGTTTTTTGAAAAAGTACCACCAGGCAGTCCAGCAACTGAGAATAAAATAGGAGTATTCACATTCACAGCAAAACAGGTATCTTAATATATCAATTTGATTCAATTTCATAATTTAATGTTACTTTTTTGTGAAAATTTTAAATGATATATAAATTTGAATAACTTATAACAAATGATACTTAACTAAAACAAAGTACCTAAGCTAAACTTTTTATCCATTACTTTTACTAAATATTTTACAATACCCAGTAGTTAACCAACACTGTTCTGGATTGTTAGTTTACAGGCTTCTCTATGATAATTAGTGTTAAAAAGTTGCTGATGGTTTCCTATTAAATGTGTGTTATATTACTAAACTTTAAAGTTTATATTTTCCTTGTATTTTTTATTTATTTATTTTTATTTTTTATAATTTTTTTTAAGTGTGGATTATATTTTTTATATACTGTATATGTAGTCAAATAAGTAAGTCTTACATACACAAAAAATATATATTTAAAAAAAATATATTCTCTCATGGCAAATGTTTGGCACAAAATAAACACAAGCTGTAAAAAGAGAAGAAAAAATTAGCAACAAATTACTATTTTACTAAAGTTTCTATTCTAGTAAATAATATATTTATACTTTACCTAAAATAAAAAGGACTAAAATAATGTGTTCTCACTATTGTGACGTTTTGCTTAAACTTTTCTGTATAGATGTTAACGCATACATGTATTAGGTTTCAACTTTTCTATAAAAAGAACAGATTTTTTTTGCTGTTGATTTTCATTTTCAACCTCCTAATTGTTTTCATATTTAACAGATTATAATTATGGAACATAAACAGAATCATCAATTTTAATAAAATAATGAATATTTTTCTCATCCAAGTCAAACATCTTGCATAGTGCAAAGAGAGAGGCCAAATTACCTAATTGCTATCACTGTGATATTTGTTTATAAACAGAATCAAACTTTTGCTTTCATGAAATCACTTTTAATCACTGTTTGGTTTGTTTCTAGTCCAACATGAATAATAAATATTTGAGAGATTTCATAAAGGGATATGACAATCTACACAAAAAATTGTTTTTACCCTTATATTTTACATTTTTGATGCATTTTTTTGTTCTTCAGAGTAAAAGCCAACATTATAATTTATGTATGTTTTAATTTAAAATGATACATATCATCAATGATAAATAAATGGTTTCTGAGTTTGCAATAACTTCTTGCATACTTCAGTTGCAACTGTTTGAGTTGTTTATTAATGCAAATTTTTTTCAAATAACAAATGTCATAGTTTTTTTTAATGTTTTTATGACATAAGAATGATAACACTTGAATATTTTTGTACTTTTCTTGTTGAAGTTTCATATTGGTTGTTCAATACATCTTTTAGACAATTAATGTTATAATTTTTTGTTTCCTGTCTAACCCACACTTACAAGATGTTGATTAATTGTTCTTTTACTTTGCCACAATATTTAATGGTTCTTTCAGGGTGAAGGTAACAAAATACTCTTGGATGTTCTGAGTTTATTTGTTAGAATTTTACAATGCTTGTAATTCTTGCATTTGTAAAAATATTTGAGCATTCTTTTCTTCAGTTGTTATTCAAGCTGAACTACTTAAAAACTTCTGGATCATCCAGAACAATTTCTAAACTCAGTTTAGCCAAAATCAGTGGTTCAACTATTTCTTGGATTCTCAAATGTAATCTTTATCCATCAATTGCAAAACAGGATCTATAAAAATCAATGGGTTTAAGTATTGATTGGCCTCTGAAATTTTATTGTTCATACTTGCAGAATGTTGGACTATCTGACTATGAAAGAGCAAATTGGTAAATCTCATTATCAATACATCAATACTTGTTCTTTTGTGTAAAAAGTCAAGAGTTTTCATGGTATTCACTCATATTACTAGATAAAATATCCAAAACGTATTGAAAAACAGCAAAAATATGTTAAAACACAAATAAGAAAACTGTACAACAACATACTTGACAAAATTTGATGGCTGCCTATTTGATATAATTCATGTTAAATTAGACTTTAGGGGAATACCTGGTCACAGATTTTTTGCTGGCATTAAGTGTGGAGCAGTCAGCAATAAATATAAATATACAAAGCTGGATAAGTTTAGCAGGAAATTTATGATTTGGCAAGAAATTTATAACTGTGGGAAAAAATGCAAGCTATTTGTAACATTAAAGTTGATGAATGCCAAACTTTACAAGAAGGAGTGCCTGGAAATACATTTTATAAAATACCTTTATTAAAATCTCATAATTTTCCTGTCAGGTTTTAAAGTTTTTCAATATGCTAAAGCAACAATAAAGTGGTACTGAAAAATGGTTTTGAAGTTATCTAAAGATCATAACCCAGCAAATTGTCAACAAATACGTACTATAGAAAAAATTTTAGGTTTTTTTTAAGTTTTTAAATAAAACACCACTTTTTTTAAGTTTAAATTAAATAAGATACTAAACAATACAAGGTCAATACAGAGTCCGAGCTGCTCAAGAAGTTTGTGGTAAAGTTCCCGATAACAATGTACAAAGCTTAATAAGGGTGTTGAGAAAAGGAGATCAAATAATTTTAAATATGTCAAAAAATAGATTAATGAGAACTCAGTATGTAAATATAACTTTAATAAATATATACATTTTTTTGTTAATTAAATGCTCTTAAAGTAAATATAATTTTTTGGTGGCTAAAAAAATATAATTATTTTTATTCAAGATATTGAGATATTGTTTAAATTATTACAAATTATAGGGTGATGACTATTTTTTTTTTCTTTTTTTTTTTTTTTGTTATTTAGGTGCCCCAAGAAGACCTAATGGTCTTGTCACAGAGCACCACGGAAGTGCATTTAACCAGGAAGTTCTCGCCTACTTCCTTACCGTGATGCAAAAATATGTCCAGAGTTTGTTTTGAACCTGGATCTCCTGCTTCAAAAACTTGCGCTCTAACCACTGCGCTATGGCCACACATTACTATTCATTACTATGCCTAATAGCGCCACAAATATATAGCCACAATTGTGACATTATATATATGGGTATATGAGGGAGAAAAAAAAAATAATGTTACGCCAATATATAGTAAACTCAATAAACTTATTTTTCAACTAATTAAGAATATCTTTAAGAAAAAAATTATCAAAAAAAATCCTTTTATCATACCTTGGCATAGTTATAAAGTTGTAAGGGTTATATAAACATTTTTTAACGTTTATATACAGCCCTGTTGTGAAATGTTGAAAAAGGTTTCAGTGCTGTTTTTTTAAATAACTATTACTTCTAAGTTTGAACTAAAGGATAAATTAAACATTATTCATAATATTTTTTTATAAAAACGCACTCTAACTAGATCTATAAGAAAAATATATTTATGAAAACAATACGTTACGACCGTCACAAAAAAAAGTCTAAAACTTTTTTCTATGCTTTGTATCAAACTTTTTAAAACTACAACTATGGTTAAAGTAAAGATAATAATACAAATTTTATTATTGTTTCAATTTTTTTTTTTAAAAAGCTTTAGATCACCTTTTCAAGGTACTTCTTAATTCTTTTTTTAAGTTATAAGTAATATAATTTTAAAAATTTATATAAATTTCTTAAATCATAAGTAATATAATTTAAAAAATTATAATTTCAAACAATTGATGCGAAGAGTTTTTTTTTTTTCAAGAAATAACTTTTAAAAAGAAAGAAATTTTTTTAGAAATAAACATTGTATATAGTTTGCACTGCAACGTTTTTGTTCATTTGATTTTGCGGTTGTTTTTTTTTTTATTTAAAACATTTCACGGTATTTTTTTAAATCAAGTTTAAATTTATAACAGATACATCACAACACTTTATCACAAAAAGAAGCTGTGATATTTAAAAATGTTTTAAAAATGCCTAAATCAGCTGAAAGATCGAAAGCTTATAGAGCTAGAAACAGAAATTATTTGATGGAGAAAGAAAGAAAGAAAGAGAAGTTATAAAAGGCAACAGTTATTGACACCAAGAAAAGAAAACAAACAAAAAAGCCAAAGGTTAAGAATGAAAAAAAAAATTGATTTCAATACTAGCGTCAGTTTAAGTTACTCCTGACATTCTTATAATTCTTATAACTGCAAATTGTCAATGAGAAAGGCATTAAATAAGTTGTTATTTATACTAACATTTATTTTTTAATATTATTGTTCTTACATAATTTGGGTTTTATATAAATCAACATTTTTAGGACAAAACAGGCTCTTCCAAAGTCTCCAAATAAAAGACGAAATATTGTAGAGCAGTTGGGAGCTGAATATGAGCTATGTACTACAAAGAAACAGAGCGAGTTCACTTTACATTAGAAGAAATTGAAAAAGTAAAAACTTTTTATGAAAGAGAAGATATATCAATAATGTCTCCTAGAAAAAAAGATTGTGTTAAAATTGGCAGAGAAAAAGTTCAAAAGCGCTACTTAGTTATGAGTTTAAAGGAGCTGCATCAACTGTATTGTGAGAAGAGTGCCAGCAAAACAATTAAATTAAGTAAGTTTTGTGAATTAGGGCCTACATACATTCTTGCGTGCAAAGAAACACCACTTGAAACATGTGGTTGTGTTTATCACAGTAATTTTACTTATTTGTGTGCTGCTTTAGCAAGGAAAATACCTTTTCCATTGTATTGCAATAAATGGTTAGAAAATTATGTATTGTGCAAGCCCCCTACGTACAAATGCTGGATTATAAAATGTTCATTATGTAGTGATAGCAAATTATTAAGAGTTTCTTTGCTCGAAAACGGAGACTTGGATACATTAATTATCTATAGTTGGTGGATAAAAGAAGATCATTGCTGTGTACTCAGTTAACATATAAAAAACATAAAAGATGTTTTTAAACATTTCCGCAACTATTTACCAGAGTTTACCGAGAATCATCTCACTAAAAAGCACCAGTCTGAGCAATACCGCAGTCAAAAAGAAAATCTCGAACCAGACCAAATTTTGATACACTTTGATAAAAAATGGAAAATTTTTAGTTTTAAAATTTTCTAACATTTTTTAATGTTAGAAAATTTTAAAACTAAAAATTTCTTTTACTAAGTATATTCGTTTTTTTAAAACGAATATACTTAGTAAAAGAAATTTACTTGTCTAATATAATTATTTATTTTACCTATGTTTCAAGCAGGAGAATAAAAGGGCATTAAGCATTTTTTGCTTAATCCATATAAAAGTAATATGATCATACCCAGTCATCATTATCATACCCAGTCATTGTCATACCCATATCACTATACCCATTATAAATGTAATATTATCCCAGTGATAATGTTATAAAGCGTATATTTTAACATAACTTACTTGGTTTTTATAATCACTCATCTTTTTTACGCCATTCATTGCAATGAATTCAATAAATGCGCCATGCATTCAGATGTTTTTCACAATTGGCATTTTCGTTACAACCATCACGGTTACGACCGCTACGACAAAAAATATAATAAAATTCTTGTAAAACATTAAGCAAAAACTATGAAACTTGGCATATAGCAAGATTAATATGTAGTAAATGCACACAGCAAAGTTTTTTTTTTTTCGCCGTGTATATGACTGTATAAAGATTGTCAAAGCCGATTTATTTAGAATTGTCAAAAACAAAGCGTTACGACCGTCACGCTACATTGAGACGATTTTTCAAATAAGTTGAAGATTTGAAACTTTAAATTTTGCATACTAAATTTTATAATAGTATTTAACATTTCTGGAAAATTTCAAATTAATATCATTCTTATTTGACTTTTAATAACTAAAAAAGTGTCAAATGTTATGACCGTCACTTGCGTGGAATTGCCCATATATATATATAGTGTCATATTTGTGTATATATATATATATATATATATATTTATATATATATATATACACACACAAATATAATATATATACATATATATACATATATACATATATATATATATATATATATATATATATATATATATATATATATATATATATATATATATATATATATATATATATATATATATATATATATATATATATATATATATATATATATATATATATATATATGTATATATATATATATATATATATATATATATATATTTGTTTAACTTTTTTTAGTTGTATGTTGGAATTGTTAGTGCTTTCATTACTCTACCTGTCAATACTTTGCTGACTTTCCTGGAGTGTATCCATGCCTAATGGCGCCACAAATATATAGCCACTATATATATATATATATATATATATATATATATATATATATATATATATATATATATATATATATATATATATATATATATAATTATGCAAATATATATATATATTTATATATATGTATTTGTATATTTATTTTTTTTTAGTTGTATGTTGGAATTGTTAGTGCCTTCATTACTCTACCTGTCAATATTTTGCTGACTCATCTATTTCGTATGGTTCAACCTATTTATCAACAGACAGTTGTTTGCAAACCATTAGTAAACCATAATCAATATGGATTCAAAAGTAGATATTTAATTTTTTATATATAATCATACACATATATCTAAGGGTGTGTCATACTATTTTTTTTTTCATATTGAAAATTTTTTATTCTAAAAACTTGTATTTAAATATAAATTTATTAAAAAAAAAGTTTAGATTTAAAAATCTGAATTGATTTAGTTACCGGCATTCGGTATTTAGTATTCACTTAAATTTGGAACAATCATAGGCTGGAATTTATCTGTTTTACTTCTTCTGTTGTCAGATCACAAGTAAGAACAGGCTCATAGTATATATTTCAGTCGATTAGCTGTATAAGCATTGTTGCATCAGGTTTTGTTTCTGGAGTTATTCTAGCTCTCACATTTTTATCACCAGTTTGAAGTTTTTCATCACCAGGACCTCTGATTTTCACAATTAACTCTATGCCATTCTTTTTTTCCTTTAGATTCTCTGAGCAGAGCATGGTCTGTATGATGCACTCAGAGAAAGCGTACTATGCTAAACGTTGAACTGTTTGCATAACAGTTTGTACTACTTCATTTGATTGATGTTTCAGAAGGCCAAGCTAATAAAAATATGTCTCGGTCCTTCAGTAAACCTGTGCTAGACATTTTAAACCAATTAATTTTAAACCACATAGGCATGTACATTCCAACAATGAAAATAACTATTAATTTAAGGTTTTTTAAATTTTGATTACTTCATCCTTTAGAGTAATAAGCGGATTTCGGAACATCAATTTTTTTAAAGGATGGATTATTTTCTAGAGCACTTGCGTCATTTAATAATTTTCCATTTGATGCTGCTCAGAATCTCTACATTAAGAGTTGTTATCAGATGGTGCAGAGGAAGTTCATTAGTATGAAGCACGCAAACCAGCCATTTTAGCTTTCTTTCTAACTTTACTTCCAGCCAATGAATTGCACCGCCTGACCACCCTGTGTACACTAGTAGAATCACCATAGATTGCTGTTAAGCTTTTATTGGCACCATTACTTTCAAAAAATTCATAGATATTCTGATCAATTACTTCAGCGTGTTTCATATGTTTTGATAATTTTTATGTTTGAAATGGAAAAAATAACTACCAGGCTATTCACATACTGTATAATGTTCCTCTTTGATTGTAGCAGTATAACTTTTAGACAAACCTTTGACTACTAATTGAACTTTTGTATAATTGATTCTGCCATCAAAAAAAAAATACAATCAATAATGGTAGACCTGCATTGAGTATCAAACTCTATAGAAAGAGACTGCATAATTTTTTCTTGACTTTGCTGTGGTCAATAACCAACTTGGTATCATCTTTTTTAACTATTCCTGCTTCCATCCAAGCTGCCATTGAATTTGCAGTTGTTTCCCGTAAGCCTGTACCATACTGTATGCTTGCTAACGCTATATTGGAAACTCTTTCATAATTCCTTTGTCCTCATAAAGGTTCCTAATCTTCATTCTGTCGACACATTAGATTGACTTCAGTATTGCTGTTTGTTGTGAAATTTTCATTACTAAATAGTTTATCTGTTTCGCTAAATTCAAATTCTTCTTTCGTTAAATTCAAACTTTTCTTTCTGACTTTTAATTGTGTGTTGCAGGTCTTTAGACGCTTTTTGCTTTAGCTATGGATAAAGTAATTGAATTTTCATTAATTAATATTTTGTAAAATATTGTAAGTACAAAATAGTTTTATGAATATATTTTTTATTTGTCATTTCCTAATATAAGTAAAATATAAATAGTCGTATGTAAAAATTTCATTTTGAATTTAGTTTGATTTTGCTTTTTTTAAGTTGAAACAGGTAGATGTATTTGTAAAATAACTAAAATTAATTTAACTTATTAAGAAATTTAATTAGTTTTTCTTTAATAACTAATTACTAATTAAAAACATAATTAATTAAAAAAATCCTACTTCTTATTTCAATCTTCTTTCTCTGAGGTTATCAGAAATCACTGAAGTTATCAGAAAAGCTATTGACAATAAGCTTTTTGCTTGTGGTGTGTTTGTTGATCTACAGAAAGCATTTGACACTGTTGATCATTCTATTCTAAGTAAACTGGAATACTATGGTATTAGAGGAATTTCTCTCCAATGGTTTACCTCATATCTTTATAATAGGTTTCAATTTGTATCTATTAACGGTAACACATCTTCTTTAGTAAAATGCACTACAGGTGTACCTCAAGGCTCTGTATTAGGACCATTGCTTTTCCTTGTTTTCATTAACGACCTTAATTTATCATTAAAATATACAACTTCCTACCATTTTGCTAATGACACTAACTTACTTTTAATTAATAAATCATTAAAAAAAATAAACAAATATATTAATCATGATCTATCTAATTTAATTCAATGGCTTCAATCTAACAAACTGTCTCTGAATACTAGTAAAACTGAAATTATCATCTTTAAATCAAAACAAAATTTTAGGTTAAGTGGTCAAAAAATCAATCCAGTTATGTACCTAAAGTATCTTGGAATCAAAATTGACTCAATTTTAACTTTTTCTTAACATCTTAAGGACTTGTCAATAAAACTATGTAGATTGAATGGGATCTTAGCTAAAATTCAAGAAATTTTAAGATTACCCAACTTACAAAACAAAGCATTAAAAATAATATATTTTCAGCATTATCAATCTAACTCCGATCATCTTTATTTTTTATCCAAAATACTCAAAATTGATGATCTAGTTCAACTATTAAATTGCCATTTTGTCTTTAATTATAAACAAAAATGTCTAGCCAGCACATTTACAAATTTTTTTACTGTTAGAGAAAGCTGTTGCTATCATCTACGATCTGCTAATAGCTATAATCTTCATGTACCAAATCATTCTTCTATAAAATATGGTCTAAAATCCATAAAATACCAAAGCATAAAATCATGGAACAGTCTACTTTCACCATAAAAATCAATTGACTCAATTACTAATTTCAAAAACTGTCTTTTTAACTATTTTTTATTATACCTGAAGACTCTGAAATATGTTGTTATGCTTTTATTATTACTACTTTCTTGATACCTACTAGTTTTATTATTAACTTTTTGTTCTCATATTTTTATTGTTATTATTAGTATTGATATTAATAATATTCTTCTATCTTTATTAGTAAATTGTTTTTTTTATTTATAACATAATAAGTATTATTATTGCTTTTTTCTTAATTTTTCTATTTTCCAAATGTTTTTCTTAATTTTTCTATTTTCTAAATTTTATAAATTTTTTCTTAAGTTTATTTACTACTTATACTATGTAGTTGTTATTATCACTATTATTGCTATTATCTTATATTGATTGTATATTATCTTTATTATTATTGTTACTAATAATATTCCTCTTCATCGTCATCTTATTATTATTGTTAATATTATTTCTATAATTATTATCAATACTATTATTATTGTTATTAGATCACTTTTATTGTAATGTTGCAGGTTTTTACTTTAGATTAGTACTTGTACTATTTGTAAGAGTCCTTGAAATTTTAAAACTTATTTCAGAATATATATTTCAGAATATATATATATATATATATATATATATATATATATATATCCAATTGTATGTACCTTTTTGTTTTATTCCAAGTCAGCTAATCCAATTTGATGCCGACTGGTAGTCCCTATTTTAGCTCATAAAATTTGTCAAGTTTTGCCAAAAATCTATCTATATTCTTTAAGCTTGCTTTTCCCCTAGCAACCAGGTTGGCTGCATTTCATTCATTACCTAATGTTGCAGTAAAATAATGTTCAATATGTGTTACAAGATATACAAATAAAGCATTGGCTTGGATCCATTTACCAATCAACTTTGAGTAAACATTGTTTATTAGTGATTTTATTGGATAACTTCTTTTGTTGCTATTGTTTCTTTCTGGCAAAAACAGACCACATCTAAGAAAAGCTCTTAGTGTTGTTTACTCTAATACAAGAATATCTGTTCAAGAAATTAAATATTCCGAAAGCTTTGATCTGCTTCTTTTTCTAGTTCTTGAGGATATTGACTCTGCCATGATTAAATAGCAAAGTTCATAATTTGCAAACTTTTTGTGTAAATTTTTTAATTTTTAAAATTAATAAAATTTTTTAATTTTTAAAATTAATAATGTAATATTTTTTAACATTTAACATACAAATTAAATGTTTGATAATTAATAAATTGGCAACTTTATATAGATTTAATATCAAATAGAATTCAACATGAGTGGGTGTAAGCAATTAATTGTTTATAAAAATGGGTGGACGCAAAACAGTATCTGTGGCTAGGGTCAAAGCTAATTACAAAAAATTACCATAAATATGCAATTTTATGACACACTTCCTGGTAGCTTAACATAAATTATTTTTTAAAGTTTTTTACATACCGTGTTTTTGGAAAAACTTTTTTTTCAAAAAATCATAAATTACACACCATAATATATATGTATATATATATATATATATATATATATATATATATATATATATATATATATATATATATATATATATATATATATATATATATATATATATATATATATATATATATATATATATATATATATATAATAAAGCCAACATATTATATACCAATTAAAAGGTTTCCAAGTTAAAAATTATGTTTTGAGCAAATAATGAATATTTAATTATCATTTTAAAATTGGTTAACAAAATGGCGATTTTTGATACATTCAAAAGTTTGCGGACAAACTAACGCTTTTAACATTTTCACCACAAAATAGCTAATTTGTTGATTTTATAAACAAATACTTTGTGAAAATAATTTCAAAACTTTATATATAAGTGATTGAGATCATGGGATCTAAAAAAATGTATTTCATCTCCAGTAAAAAAATTGATCTTGAGATCAGTTCAGAATGGAAACTCGTTTCGTAAAACAGCACAGTTTTATGGAGTTGGTAAGTCTGCTGTTGGACAAATTATGAAGAGATTTAAGCTTACTAAATCTACAAAGAATAAAAATCAATCAGGAAGGCCACACAAAACAACGCGTTATCTGGATAAA